ATTTCCCCCTCAGAATATAGAATTTCACATGCATACTCTGACTGAAAACAGATTTTTGTTTTGGGAATTCAGCTACTGAAGAGATTGCCAGATTACACTTGCTGGGCACTTGATTTGTTCAGTTTGATGTTAAACACAAAAAAATGCATTAGCCACTCCCACGCCAGCAGCTCACTGATGGTGTGGTCTGCTGCAATGGTTTTCAAAACAGAAGAATTAGGACGGCTTCAGAAAGTTGGATCAAAGTTAAGAAGAAAAAGAAAAAAAAATTCCATACATTTTTAATCATTTTTATTGTATATGTTTTTATCATTATTCAGCAGACTTCATATATCAAATGTCAAATGTTTTTTTTATGAAATACAAGTTGAAATAACTTATTGTAATGTCATTTGCCATGCTCATCTTTCTGATTGGTTGCAAGTCAAATTTATCAATCTGCTTTGTTCCTCAGGCTAACATAGCAAACTGGAAATGGAAAAGTTTTCTTCTGACCAAAAAATTAAAAAAGGAACCATTCAGCAGCCCTGAAGGACACTGATGTAAAAAAATACTAAAACCTTTGGTGAAGATGACGGAGTACCAGGGCCACACTATAAAATAACTAAAAATAAATAAAAAAATTACAAGAACAAACTCATAAAATTACCAAAATAAAGTCATAGTATTACAACTTTATTCTCTTAATATTATGACTTTACTATGACATTTTTCTCATATTATTTTGACTTTATTCTTGTACAACTTTATTCTTGTAATCTTATTTGTTAATATTTTAATTGGTATGGCCCTAATATTCCATCATAGTTGGAACTGTGAGAAAGAAATAAAATTTTAGGTGTGATAATATACAATATTCATTTTTTTTAATAATTGAAGGGATTGTGGTGAAAATGTATTGTCAGGTAATATATTATAACATGAACATCAGATTAATAAAGTCATTACATTACCTGATAAATTGTTCCACCGCAGAACTCATGACCATTTAATACCCGAAGGTTTGAGGCAGCATTTATGCTAAATGAACATAATAATTATTGATGGTGATTAAAAGTGAGAAAAACATTTGAAAAGTTTCTTAACGTATTTGAAGCATAATTGTCTGTGGATTTTCAAAGGGGGCCCCAGCCAGAAGCTAGTGCTGTTTGGGGGGGCCATAGCATGGAAAGTTTGGGAACCCCAGGTCTCTGTGTCTGCTCTGCTTCATAACTGACTGTTAGATGATCAAGGAAGTGCCTGTAAAACACGTTGCGCCCACTGAGAGCACTGCAGCCGTTCTTTGAAAAACACACCCGTCGGTTCTCTGCAGGAGCAGGTTCAGTTCAGAACATCTTTGGTTTCTTTTGTCAGTCCTGGGTAGTTCAGACTCTTCAGCCACTCCAGTGGTTTTTATCTGATAAAACATTTATGTAGATGCAGCCCAAACAAATGCACTAAAACTCTACATTTAAGACAAGGACTCTGCTATCAAGGTCAAACCCACTCATTTACACACATGTGAGAAAGTCTCTCTTTTAACAAAGCAGGAGCATTCAGTGTTCTGCTTCTCAATGTCTTTCACCTACTTTCTCTGTCGTTCTTTCTCACACTCACGCACACACACACACGCTCACATATATACACGCGTGTCTAGCTTTTTTTCCCAAGCAGCCAACTAGTTGGGTGCCCTTTGCCGACTGCAGCACAGCATGAGCGGAGCCCTGCTGACTCGGCCTCTGTTGATCAATCAACACCTACTAATGGGGAAGGAGATGAAAGAGGAAGAGAAGGAGATGTGGATGGAGGGAAAATGGAGAAAATATATAGAGACAGGGGATGGATGGGGGGGCTTATATGGGATGTAGGGGCCAGTAATAAGATTGCTGTATCAGGGCTGTTTAACCCAAATGCAGGAAATGACACAATCTCAATTCACGTCCTGCATATTGAACTCATTACTGTGGATCACCAGCTGGAAAAATGGGTCTTCAAAAGCGCATATATTTTTCATGTGGCGTTAACATGAGATTGTATTAGGACAGCTCTCGGATGTTTGTGTGAATGAGGGGTGGCCCAGCACTCATTCCTCCATTTTTTAGCTTTTGTTTGCCCAGACTTCCTGTGGCTCTTTTGAAGTATTTCCATGGGCATTGTTGCGTTCAGCTCTCATTTTAAGTCTAGTTTGTAGGTTCATGCTAACATTTTGTTCTTTTTTTGTGTTTGCAAATGTGACTTATATTAAAAAAATGGAGATAGATAGATAGATAGATAGATAGATAGATAGATAGATAGATAGATAGATAGATAGATAGATAGATAGAGCTTGTGCCGTATAGATAGCATTCGATGCGGCTTGCTTTCAAAATGGCGGCTGTGTTTTAATAATTCAAGCTCACCGCAGGAGGCCTCTCTTTGATGTTTCACTTTGAAGAACTAGTTCATCCCCTTCCTTCACTCTGTTCGCCGTCTCATGGGTCCGTCACCTGTCACAAAGTCGGCCTGTGAAGCTCATTCCTCCTTATCTTTACTCACACTCTTTCTCCTCTTTCATCAAAAATGTTCCGTCCTTCCATATCTCTTATTTCCGCTTTGCATGGAGTAAATATCTCGGAGCTCTCGGCTACGTGTTTTCTTTCTCTCTTTCTCCGTCTGTCTCCCACAAATTTACATCCCAGCGTATCAGATTTGAAGGCCTGTGCTTTTAGCCTTTAACTGTTGCAAAGATTATAACAGCATTATTTATTTATGACCAGTATGTTTTCTTAGAAACTGCTGCTATTTGCGCATTTCAAAGCTATGGTACAGACTGATACCATAAAAGGAATAGTAAAAAAGGATGTGTCTTAACTGGTTTTTAATCTTTTCATTTATTTTATGCTGAATTTTCCAGCAATGATCAGCGGAACGGTTTCAAGGAGCAGTTATAAGTTTAGATGCAGGCGTCTTTGGCACTAATCTGTATTCATCTTTGGCTTTTTTAATGATGAACAGCCACTTTACCACACTGGAAAGATTATACAACATCTGACTCCAATATGTCCAAATACCAGCCTTAGAAAGTTGCAGAAAAACTACACACTTTTTTAGCCGACAACAAATGCCAGGCAAAATTCTGTCACTACATAAATATTCCTCTTGGCAGAAACGGTAGAAGTCAGTTATTTACTTTTTTCCAGACTTACATTTCAAGACATTACATTCCCAGTATTGTTGAGAATTCCAGTAGCTTAATAACTTGTTTTTTCCATCCAAAAGCTGGTTTCTGGGTGCCTGTGTGATAATTGTGTTGGTGGAACACCAAGCACCCAGATTTTACCTGCAGCTGTTGATTTGAGAAAAAGTTGAACAACTTGGAAGCAGTCCTCCTAATCTATCTACTGTATGCAGTGCACCAGTATAAAACCCAACCCTCAGCATGATGACACCACCACCGTGGTTCACAGTTTGATACCATGATCTTACATCTAATTCTTTGCCGTAAACATTTTCTCCAGAAGGCTTCTGGGTTGTGAATGTGGGCAGCTACATGTTTTAGTTCAGTGTTTAGGTGTCTATTTTAGATTAGAAATTTACTGATGAATTTTGGAGTTTATGACAGCCTTATAACAACTTGTGGTTCCAGGTTTGTTCCTAAACAGGCTGGCCAATTTCCCTCCACCGTTTGGATGAGATAAGAAAACTTTGACACAGTTCAAAGAAGACAATGATCACAAAATCACATTAAAGGTGGTTTTAAAATTGATAAACCGTATTAATATTAGGTTTTTGGAATTACTTTTAAATGGATGGATGTTTAAACAACAATTCATGAAGCAGCTCTGCCAGTTCTGATCATTTCCTACAGCTCGTTGGGATTCTGCAATTGTGGAAATTCAACAGTTGCCTGCATTTTTAAATGTTTTTTGCAACAGCGCATTATTTGTGAGTTTACTGCAGATGTTCTGCAAAGATGGTCAAAAGCATTGGGTTTGAAGGTGGCAGTATTTCTTACTTCTCTGCTCTTTCAGATTCATTTAATGTCTGTGCTTGATATCAACAAAAAATTAGCCAAGTACTTTTAAGAACAAGCCTGTTTGAGCGTCCAATCCGTCTCCTTCTGCATGCAGATTTTGCAAGGGGTTTAATTAGATAAATGAATTCATTAGATTAAAAATATCGCAAAATTCCTTGCAAATATTTCTGAAGCATCACCACAAAGTCAGTGATTTTGATTGCAAAAAGTCACAAAAACAATTGTGAAATCTTGTAGGGACTGTCTAATAGAAACATCTGTCTAATATATTGCCATAATTAATTCCATGAGTACGTAAAGCATGTGATTTGTCTGCAATTTGTACATTTAAACATTTGCACCCAGTTCTTGTTTATAAAATCCATTTCAGTTTTACATTTCATAATTTTACCCTGAAAAAAGAACCAGCTGAAATACTTGATTAAAAGCTCCAAGCTAACATGGAATCCATTCTCAGGGCGACTGTATGTAAACTCCTGACAGGCACTGTATACGTGCATACCAGAACAAACTAATGCGGTTTTTGTGAAAAGGCCTTGAGTGTCAACTTGTTCGTAGCACCAAAGTTGCCGTTGGCAGAATGAGCAGAGTGTGTGTGAAGTAGGAGCTCAGAAAGGACAGAAAGATCATCAAGTAACATTTAATTACTGACAGCCTCCGGGTCAATTTATTTCTGTATTTACTCATTGCAAAATATCATTAAACTCGAATGGAGCAAGTCTTGGCAAGCATGCAGTAAGCATAAGATTGAAGACCTACAGATGGAGGCTTTCTTCATAAAGGGGTAAAGGGCCAGGTGGCTCGACATCTGCACATGCTTCATCTGTCCAAGTTCCTCTGTTGTTTTAAGAAGGCAAAATATTCAGATATAATTATATAGCTAAATGCACCAAGTTTCTTGATACCAGTGGAAAGACAGAGCCCAATGTCAATCAGCTTTTATTTTACGTCTGCTGCTCTTGTTCTCATCAACTCTTAAAGTGATCTCTATTTTTATCTTTTCTAGGTATACTGTATAAGGGCAATGGCGAGAATGTCTTTATCTCCCAGCAGCCCGCTGTCATCAGCAGCATTATGGGTAAGTGTAGATTATTTTAACATCTTAACATTGTGAAAAGGTATTATCCTCCTTTGAGGTTTCTTATGTTTTTTTTTTTTTGTTGTTTTTGTTTTTTCCAATTTAATGTTTCACATCAGCAGGTAAATCTTAATATGGCCAAGATAACCGAAGTGAACACAAAAAGCAGTTTTCAAATGAGGCTTTCATTTAAGTAAAAGCTGAATATTTGTGAAATCATGTTAACTGTGATAAACTACATTTTTTTGAAAAGCTGAGGTCATTTCACTGTTTGACCTCTGATATGATAAAAAAAACTGTCTGGCAGCAAGCAATAGATGACAATATTAACTCAAAAAGTAATAAATCATGCCGTGAAAACAAAACACAAAGGAAGTGTACCTTCTAATCTCAACGCACATTAGCTGCATTTCCATTACAAATGTGTGTAAAACTCTGTTGGTGTTTAGCGAATGTCGAAAAGACACAATTTCACAATTGCAGCATTTCTATTAGATAGGAAACGCAATTAAAATCATGTAAACAAGTTTGTTCATTCAATAAGTTACTAAAATACATGCTGCGCCATGATCCTCTTACCACTTCCTGTCGTCTTTTCCACCAGCAGCAACATCCGGTTGTTGACTTCAACTTATGAGATGCGATGAAAGTGCTCCCATTGCAGTTTTGCTAAATTTTGATACAGCCAAAAAAAAAAAAAAAAAATCACCTCATCCAAGTGTACAAACTTTATATCGAAAAACAAGAATTTTCTCTAAATCTAAATTAATCAAATTTAATTTTCATAATTACAATATCAGGGCTTTTATCTTGCATTAAAATGTTTGACGCTCTGGAATATTCAAATTAGAGATGTAGACGATCTACTCACGGTTAATTGTTGCTTAATGGTTTGTTATGTTAAAATTAGTTCCAATCGGTTAAACTAATATCGTTCTTTTAGAGTAGCAGTTTGGCCTCCATCCAGAAGAGGCCACCGCAGGTAATTTTTGCACGGAGCCAGCTGATACAGGAATCGATATGGTGGCCCTAAGTGGAAAAGAAAAACAGTTCAAACAAAGTCTGGTGTGGGATGTAAATTGCATTTTATTCGGTTCTGTTTTCAAATATAATCCCTCGACGAGATCGTTAAGTTTCACCTCAACAGCGCTCATTTAGCCGAAGTGCTGCACGACAGGGCAGCGTTAGCAGCTATGGAAAGACGGTCGGCCATCTTGACATAAGAAAATAGCCGCTTATCATTTAATTTTTAGTTGATTGATTTGATAAATAAACTTTAGATCAACTCAGTTAAACAAAAAAGAAAAGAAAATTAACAGAACAGTATTTGTTGATGACTTGAATGATTTCTCTGGTAAAACTAAATAATTCACTGACTAAAACTGACTGTGAATCTCAGGAAACGGTCGGCGGCGCAGCATCTCCTGCCCCAGCTGTAACGGCCAGGCGGAGGGCAACAAGCTGCTGGCGCCTCTGGCCCTCGCTTGCGGAGCGGATGGCAGCATTTTTGTCGGGGACTTCAACTACATCAGGAGGATCTTCCCCTCTGGGAACGTTAGCAGCGTCATGGAGCTCAGGTAACGACGGAGGGAGGATCGCTGGTTCTTCCCGGCTCCTTGAAACAGGGCAAACTCCACCTCAGTATCCTACAAAGAAAGCTCTAACTGCAGGAGTTTAAAGTCAAACGCTTCCAAATCCACGGCTTCATCCATGTTTGTGCGGTTCAGATGATCCATGCTCACGCTTTGTGTTGAGTGTTTGTTTCTTAGATCTCAAACCCTAACATTCATCTGAAATCTTTCTTCTAATGATTTCTATGAAGCATGATTTCAGTCTGTTGTGTTGTCTGTTTCTCAGTGATTTCTCTTGTAAGTCAATCAATCAAGCTGTCGACTAACTCATGTCTCTTCTGTGTTTCCTTGCCTTTGCTTGCACTGTGTTAAAGAAACAAAGATTTCAGGCATAGGTAAGAGGGGATAAATCTTTTCACCCTTTCTTTTTACCCCTTTTTTTGTACTGTGCTGTCAGCTCATTTTAAATATCAGATTCTTCTCTGTCCATTTTTTGGCTTACATTTGTCTGCAATGGCCACATTTTACTCAGCAGAGTAAAACAAACATGTAATTGACTTTGTCAGGACTATGAGAAGGAGCCTTGAAATAAGATGCTGTCATCTTGCTTTTTTCCTGATTCCTTTCTCCTTCGCTGTCACTCCCTTTCTTCCTCTTGTCTTGACCTGTTTTCACACAAAATCAAGCCCCATCGACTGCTTGTCAGCTCAGATGAACAGCAAAGCATCACTTTAGTTTCAGCTCTTAGCAAGGAGATCCTGCAAGGAGAGAAGTTGGTGGTTTGGCAAAAGGCTTTGTTTGTAACTGGTCTCCTTGTTTCTCCTCTGTTCTTGGTCCTCTTTAATCAAATAAGTCTTAGGAGCAGTCACATTATGTAGATGGCCTATCCTTTTACTTGGCGCACAAGTAAAAGAATAAAAATGCAAGAGAATAAAAAAGTTAAAATAAAAGACTACTCTCATTTCTATGGAAGATGATTAGGAAAGATAATTCTGACTTTTTTTCAGAATTATGAATTTTATTTCAGAATTGTGACTTTTTTCAGAATTCTGACTTTTTTTCAGAATTCTAAGATAAAAGTCAGAATTCTGGGACTAAACTGAGAATTATGAGAACTGAACTTAATCTCAGAATTCTGACTTTTATCTCGGGATTCTGAATTTTTTTTTCAGAATTCTGACTTTTGGTCTCAGAATATTGACTTTTTTTCAGGGTTGTGACTTTTTTTCCTCACTGTTCTGACTTAAATCTTCTGATACCAATAGACAGGAATCTGAGACTAAAGTCATAATTCTTTTTTTTCAGTGGCCTTAATCCTTAATCCACACATTTAAGTCAATGAGATTTAAGTGACTAAGAATGGAAAATGATTATCGGTTTATAAAATATTTGGTAACACTTTATTTGAAGGGGGTTGAATAAGACTGTCATGACACTTTCATAAACATGACATAACACCTGTCATGAACATGAATAAGCCTTCATGAATATTTATGACTCTTGTCATAAAGCGTCATTCGGTAAATTATGACACTTTTAATACAAAGTTGACATTATTCCAAATGTCTTTGTTGTGACAACTTGACATTAACCAAGAAATCATTACTGATATAAATTTGTTATAAAATAATTACTGATTGCACTTTAAAAATTAGGTAACTTTATGTTATTAAAGGTAAAGTTTAATCAGTAATGATTTCTTGGTTAATGTCAAGTTGTCATAACAAAGACATTTTGAATAATGTCAACTTTGTATTAAAAGTGTCATAATTTACCGAATGACGCTTTATGACAACAGTCATAAATATTCATGAAAGGCACCATAATTTGTGGCATATTTAAAGTAAATGTAGCGCTCCATCTCTGCCACCTCTTTGTTCCTAAACAGAGAGATCTCGTTGCTTCGGTCATTCGCCACAATGCTTTAAAAAATAAAACCACCTTTAACCAGATGAAAGGGTTGAGATGTAAGGTGCACAGCTGGAGTCTGTATGATTTAAAGAACAAAATCCTGTTGGGTTCACACTGTTACACTGCTGCCACACTATCACATACCCGCCTTGAGTTTCAGTGGCTGACGGTGAAAATCCCCATGAAGACACAGTTATATAGTGAATAATGTTCCAGAAGCGCCTTTCAAAAAAACTGATATTGGAGCAAACACCGTTTGATCACCTGCTAAATCAGGCTGCTGCTACTTTTTTCTTTTCTTTTCTTTTTTTTGAAATATGTCAAAAATGTTAACACCATGAGCATCACAACTCGTACAGTCGGTATGTCATGTAATCAGAGATTAAAGCAAGCTGATATGTGATGTGTGAAACTCTTTATTATTCATTTAATTTATGATTGCTGTATTTATTTATGTTTCTAATTGGGTAATGTTTAATTTTCCAAGGCAAAATTGGAGGAACTATTCCGTTTTTGCATGTAGAATTTCATCCTAACAGGTTATATGAAAATTACAAAATGGCCATATGTGAAATTAGACCGAAGGACAAAATGTACTGGTTGGAGTTTCTGACCTGCAGTATTTATTTTGATATTCTGAAACCTCCAGTCGGTCTGAAACCTCCAGTCGGTTGTGGGCAGATGGAAACTCGTACTGAGCCAAGTTCTGGTTCCGCTGAGCCAGGTTCTGGTTCTGCTGGAGAATTCTTCCTGTTAAAGGGAAGCTTTTCCTCTCCACTGTGGCTACATGCATGGCCGGTTTGAGAGATTCCTGTAAAGTCAATGACACAATATGAGCGAGTGTCTAGTGTTGCTACGTTCTTGTCCAAATGGAGCGAACGCTGCAAGGCAATAACTTAATGAAATCTGCTGAGTTTCATTAGATAGAAACTGTCTGATCTGAATAAAGAATAGAGTTTATTGCTGTAAGAATAGCTGAAATGTATGTGTGATTAAAATGTAATGACTCCTTTTGGACATTTGTTGTAAATCGGGGCAATGTACATAAACTGAATTGAACAGGCGATCTAGATGGGATGAATTTTTATTTCAGTAACTGGAAACTCTGGACTTTGAAAAAGAAAAGGCATTTATGGTTGTCAGTCCTGTCTTTTGCTGTATGATGAGAATCCACTGCTGAAGATGATGTGTACGTCGTCTTCACCTAAATATACGTTTGGCTTTTGTTCTTCCTCTAAAAGTCGGTGGATTCAGTTTCACGCCCCGTCTGTGTCGTGTTTCAGGTCAAGTTTTGCTTTGGAATAGATATGTGGCAACTTTCAGCCTTTGTTCTGTTATTCTGTTGTTTTACTTCCTGCCGTCTTGGATACTCTGTCTTCTTGTGCTTTATCCTTCTTGTTTTCCTTTACTCATTTTTCCAAGCCCCATTCTTTCAATGTCTCCTAACATGACTCATTTGCTCTCCACCCTTCACCCCTTTTCACACTCCATCAGTGCCTTCTTCCTTTCTTTTCCTTTCTCACTTTTGCGTCTTTGATTTTCCTTTGCTTCAGCCCTTGCCTCCATTTCCCCTTCAGTGTTTTACTGAGCCCTGACATGTTTGGGTAATAGAGTGCTTTCCACATGTCAGCATCCTCTTTCAGCTCCAAATAGATCCACGTTGTGAGAAATCTTTTAAAGAGAAATTTCATTCTTTATCCTGAGAAACATGCTGTTCTGTTGACATGTTGGAATATGAAGTGGAAGAGGCTCGTAGAAGGTGAAGCAATCAAATATAAAACTTGGAGCTGAAGTTGTCAACATGTCATTGCTTTCCATTCACAGATGTGACTTGTAGATAGATAAAAATATATCCTCTGCCTTCTTTTGAACTCTGATACGTATCTAAACACACTTTTTTTATGTTTAATTAAGTCTTCTTTCTCAGTGCTGGTAGCATGGTTTCTATCTCAGTTTTTTTTTCTTTTTTTAAGTAATAGATTGTGTTGCTTTCAGCTTTAAATTGTTTCCTAGTGGGAAGTTTTGGTCCACATAAAGCCTTGTGTTGTTCCTCAGTTGTTTTAAACCTGCCTGTTTATTTTTAGCTGTCCTAATTAACACCCTGTCATCATCTGCTGATTGTTACTGACCACTGGGATTCAAGGCCAGAGGCCAAAACACACACACAGCCTTTACATGACAGTGCAGCAGGCCTCCTCAAACTGTGTTACAGAAAAGTGATAGCGCTCATTAAATCAAAGACAAAGCTATTTTTAACCATAGCACTCTGTCTTTTAAAAGTGTTGGGGAATTTAAAGAGCTGGCAGAAATGCATACCTCCCTCATCTCTGCCAGACCTTCTCCACCAGCGTTTAGCTCATGATACTGCCAGTTTATAAAAATTAAATTGGAGACAAAGCTGTTTTATTTAGCAGCTTAACATTGGTGCTTTGCAAAACAAGCCTCAAAAACATTGGATGACATTCTTGTAATCACTGGTGCTTCATTTTTAGATCAAATGAAGGAAAAACTGATGCAATCGCTCCACACCGCATTGTATGTAAACATCACAACTAGAGCTTTGCCTCATCTGGTTTTCATTTTTTTTTTTTTTTTTTTTTTAAATTTTTTCAGGGATGAACTCTAATTAAATTCAACTGTTGAATCGCTCCATTTTGTCGAGCTAATTTTCGACAAATGTGATCTCCAGGCACTCTGCAGAAAAATATAATCAGGTCAATATTCAGTTACAACCATTGTGATCCAGTCCTAGGTATAAATTAATGAAGTTAATGTTAGAATAGAATCCCAGTTGTTTAAAAGCGTGTGGCAACAGTAGAGCAGAGAAACTCCATTTTTACGAGAAGAGATCTCCAGAAGAACCCAATGAGTCTGGGCTTTTTCACATTACACTTTAAATGAGATGCTGAGGCCAATAAATTGTCCCAGAAGTTATTGCAATGAACGATAATGTTGTTTTTAAATAATTTTCAGCGGTTGCTGGCATAATAATGCAAGAACGCACTCTCAAAGATCGGTAAACTTTAAATTCTAATGAACTTTTAACTGAAAGACTTTTTAAATATCCAAAATAAATAAACTAAACAACAGACACAACAACTAAAATTAATTAGGACGTCTCTGTAAACAAACAAGGGCTAGTTGAGACCAAAGCACCAGAGTGAAGACTTCAGTCATCCAGTTTCTGGTAGAAAGAGGGAGAAACAAGAAAATAATACAAGTGGAAATAATTGAGCTAGTGTTAATTTATCATTATATAATTGATTTATTGCGACAGGCCTAGAGATGCTGGCTATCTCATTCAGTTAATCTGTGTGTCCTATAGAAAGGTTTTAACCTCACTGCCTTCTCCACCAAAGCTAACTTCATCCCTACACTGTAGCGATTTACTCGTTTTCTTCAGGCTGTCATTTTTGCATGTTTCACTGGGATGGCACCAGACAAATGGTCCAGCATCTTATTCTTAGCCAATAGAGATTTGGATTTCCTCACTGAATCCCACTTTCAGCCAATCATCCACAATCCATTACAGTTTTCCTTTAGCCCATTGGAACCTTGACAAACACTCCTGTTTCTGCCCATTTGTGATTTTCTTTTGCTGTGCATTTCCCATTTTCCAGCCGTACTGCTCAGAGTTTCTGGCTTGATGTTTCCACGTCCGTTTTCATCTGCCTAGATGTTTTACAATAGTCCATTTTGCTTGGAATTGCTTCAGATTTTTATATTGTTGGAGCTGTCAGCTCTGTTGTTGTGGCCATCAGCCAGATTCAACAGCTTGTTAAGATCTCCAGCTCTCATTTAGCTGCAGTCTCAGCCGCGGTAGATCTGTGGAGGTGTGTGTTTTCTAAAAGCAAAGTGATTCCATCGTTATTACTTCTAACCAGAAACAAGCACCAAGTAATGTGTTGTCATCTCTTGTATTTTTGAAAAGTATACAGCGAAACAAAATTGTGTTGTTTCATGTGGCCGGGGGACACCAATAAAGTAGAGTCTTGGAAGCAGCAGGATGTGTTGCGTAAAAAGTAACTTACAATATTCATCTGGGCTCCATGTGGGGTCAGTGACCTTTTACTGCATGGCATCTCGTTCTGCCCTGCTTCCTGTCAAGCTAAGGATTAGTAGTGGTAATTTATCATTTATCGTGATTCTTATCGTGATAAGAATTTTCAATTTATCATTAATTGATAAATTTCTACTAATGATGTTTAAAACTCCCTGAAATCGTCTGTGTTGTTGAGATTATTAATTTTACTATGTTCTCCATGTTTTTTATTTTTATTTAGACCATCAATTGATTTGAAAATATGATTAAATGTAGTTACTGTGTGCAGTTTAGTGAAACAAATCGCACCTTCATGCGATTGGTGTCCTAAAGCAGCTTTTTACGCATTATTTCAAGATCAGTCGTGTTTGTGGGACTATGATTGCTGTGGCATTCAGTCACCTAAAGTTAGTTTGAGATAACTTTTATTTTGATGTATTTATTTCAAACAGGTTTATAAAAACAAGAAACCAAGGAGTCAGTAGGACAGAGGAAACATGTGCAAACACAACCTAGGACAAAACAATTTGTTTACCGCTATTTTTCTGTAGGAAGAAGTGAACACTTTTAATTTATTCAATTCAGTTTAATGAAATGTATCACTTACTGACTCAGTAATTATCAAAAATTTGTAATTAAAACCATGTGATAATAACATCCATGTTCCTGTTCAATGTACTGGGCTACAGAGTTAACAAATAAATGATATATCAAGACAAAATCATCTACTTATAATAATAATAATAATAATAATAATAATAATAATAATCACAATTGTAAATAACAGACATACAGCATTAGAATAGTTACCAACTTTTCATCATCACAATAGAATCTCAAAATATTGTGATAAAACTTTGAGTCTATTTCATCCTTACTACGGCTAAAAAAAGGCCGTCAGCACAACAAACTCTTAAAAATAAAGAAGTTTGATCCTCATTCTGTGCTTGTTTGTCTGTCACTGTCCTCCACAGCAACAACCCTGCTCACCGCTACTTCATGGCCACTGACCCAGTAACCGGACAGCTGTATGTGTCCGACACCAACTCCAGGAGAATTTACCGTCCCAAGATGCTTAGCGGCGCCCGGGACCTCAACAGTAAGCACAAGCCACAGGAAAAGCCCTGTGTTGGCAGAAATGAAAGCATCCTTCTCCATTATTGTCTGATATTCCGTGTTTGGAAAACTCTGCAGCAAATTCAGTGTGTGTAAATGTGTGTGTGTGTTCAGGTAATGGAGAAGTCGTGGCTGGCACAGGTGAGCAGTGTCCTCCTTTCGATGAGGCCCGATGTGGTGATGGGAGAAAAGCTACAGAGGCACAGCTGCTGGGACCAAAAGGTACACACACACACACACACACACCTGTAACCTGTTGCATATATTTCTAAATCTAGTTTGCAGCACACATAAAAAGCCATTTGTTTAGGTTCACGTTTAAGTCACATCCTGAACTTATTGTCAGACCTGATGGTTTCTCTTTCCTCTGTGTGTAGGATTGGTCTTCACACTGATTTGGTTTGTGTAGTGTTGCACTAATTGAGCTGGATGTACTGAATGACTCTTTGTCCACCATTACACTATTTGCATTTTATTTGAATGATAAGGGAAGCCACATGCCTAAAGGAAAGTGGTGTGCTTACGTTGCCTTGAGTGCAGTTAATCTGAGCTGCTGTTAATTTTTGGACATCAACAAAAAATGTTTTCACAGCTCTCAGATGTTACCACATGTTTGCCAGTGTTACAGAATAAGTACAACTATGACTCAAATGCTGCACTAATGATTACATTACTTAGTTTCATTGTACTCTGTTCAGATGCTTCGCTCACCTCAGGATTCTTGATGCTTGATACTAAAATGACCAGCATGACCTATTTTCCTGTTAATCTGACTAAAATTTGTTTCTCCTCTGTAGGGAAAACACACAAACATAACACTTAATCCCTGGACCATCAGCTTATCTTGCTCTGTTTTATGTGTCATCGACTTTGTCGAGCTTTATGCTCCCTCATCAAAAACATACCTGGAGTGTTGCTTTGATTCTTTCACGCATGTTTGAATCTCCCATGGCAACCGTTCAGCGGTGCCTAAATGCTAGCTCTCGCAAAGCGCCACCTATTTACTCAAAGCTTTTCCTTGTAGCTTCAATCTCTAGCCGAGTTTCTGTCTCATAGAGCACCCTTCCCCTGCCACTCCCCACTCCGCTCCCCCAGACTAGCGGCAGCAGTAGTTACCAAACACCACATGGAACTGTGCATCTGCTGAGCGCATACGAACTACATCTAAGTCCAACCGTCCTAAGACTGCTTGCAAGCGGCATAATGGGGGAAGTGCTGTTTTGATGATTTCCTGAAGGCAGAGCGTCGGAAAGAGCAGGAGCTTTAGAGGCCCAATCTCAAGGCATCAACTTGTGAAGTCAAATTTCTTTTAGGTTTGATATATACAGCATTTTTATAACAATTGAATGTTACAAGATTAGTTGACTGTCCTATTAAATGGCACTTTGTGCCTGGAAGAACACAAATTACCACACTGAGCTACAGGATCCAACAGCTACTCTGTAAAGTCACAGGTAGATCCTGAACCTAGACTCTACTGAACCTGCCTGCAGCCCAATAACCGTTAGAAAGTTACAAAAGAAGGCCTTAAAAACTATAAAACATCTCCTCCCATTCCATAAATTCACCCATTTGGACTTTGCACAAAAGCGTCAAATAAGGAAGACTGAAAGATTACCTTTTATTTCCCCTCTGATGATAAACATCGTGCAGCTCATCCTGGGATCCCCCAGGAACAATGAACATTCAGGTTGCGTAGGGGCGTCAAACTGCTGCTGGCTATATGGAGTGCGTCTCCCTCCGGACTGAGGACTTTCATCTGACGGCTGAAAACAACACATTCCACAACTACTGTCTTACAAAAACACTTTATCAAAGCATACAGCACCCACTGCATGTTCCCCTGATCTCCTATTGAATAGCAATGAACATATTCAGGGATGAATGGCAATAACAGACATCAATTCCACACCCTGGAAAAAAATCTGGCAGCATGAAATGCGAATGATTTCCATCTACCTAAAATTTTAATCAGGATTGTATCTCCTGCTGCTCGGCGACGTTCCATCATGCTGTAGAAATGAACAATAAGAGTGTGAGTTGCAGGAAGTGGGGAAGTCTCGGATGGCCGTGGAAAGTTAAGGTTTAAACCGACACATTTCATTAGCTTTCGCTGTGTTCTTGTTAGATTACTGTTGTCCTATGAAGGCAGCAGTAAGCAGCTGAAACTGAACCCCAGTGACACAAGCTGGATGTGCAGACAGATTTCACAGCTAAGCTCCTTCCTGATCGGTGCTGCAGTTTTGCATGTGATGGCAGTTTTTCACTCTGGAGCCACATCTGTCCTGGGAGAATTATGAATGCTTTTCGTGCTTGAGGGGAACAGAATATCAAGTGGGTCAGTATATCATTTACAGGACTGGCTCTGACGCTTTGTGTGGATCTGTCCAGACAGACAAGGTGGTAATTTAAAAATATCAGTGCTGTGATTCTTTCACCAAACTCAGCAGTTCATACAGGGATGCCTTCAACATCCGAGGACACTTATGGAGCTTATTGAGCTCTGTAACTGTCAAAGGAGGAATATTTTAAAATGTCAGTATGACATGTTTACGACACCATGTCCAACGTCGAAGTGCAGGTTTTTCAGAATTTACATTTCACAAATCTGTGTAATTTAAATAGTGCAGTAGGTTTGCACTACGTAGTCCAGTGGATGTTGCATAAAAATGTTCTTATCTGGGGAAAAGCAGCCTTCCTACATGATTCACTTGGAATTTGATGAAGTTTTCTTCATCTAAAAGGTTCATTTTATATCTCTACACTACAAAAACATAAAATCTTGCCAAGTATTTTTTGTCTAGTTTGAGCAAATATATTGGTACACTCAAAATAAGATAAAAATAACTTCAGCAAAAAGTAGGAGTATGTTTTAAGTCAATAATTCCTTAATATTGGTTTTAAAAAATCAATATTTTTAAAATATTGATTTTAAAAAATATTAAAATATTTTTTAATATTTTAAAAAATATTAAAAAATATTTAATATTTTTTAATATTAAATATTAAAAATATTTAATATTAATATTAAATATTAAAATAAAAATATTTTAATATTAAATATTAAAAGTTCCACTGGCTTTACGCCAGTGGAACTGCTAGTTTTACGGCACATAAATTAAATAATCTTCTGGTGCATCTAGTATTTTTTCATCAATCTTAAGAAACTACAGACTTAAAACAATCTCCTGTTTCTAGTTGAGAAGTAAGTTGGTTTTGTCTTATTTTGAGTGGTCTAAGATATTTCCAATAGAAACTAAACAGAAAATAAGATTATGTGTTTTTGCAGATAGTGTAGCAGAGAAGAACGTTTTTTTGTTTTCTTGATTTGTACTGAATTTATATTTGTACTGTCAGTTTTTTAAATATATTTAGTAGCTTTTAAATTTTTCCTCTTTATTTGTAAAATTCCTAAAATTCAAACTGTTTACATTTTCCACCCCATCTTTGCTGTCACTGGTCAGTGTCTGTGCTACCAATTTTAAGTAAAATCTTAATAATTCATCGTTTAACAGGTTGATAAATTGTGTGATATCTAAACTTTGTCCTGTGAATCTGTCTCTGCTCTCCAGGGATTGCAGCCGATAAGAACGGACTCATCTACTTTGTGGACGGAACGATGATCAGGAAAGTGGATCGTAACGGAATCATTTCCACAGTGCTGGGCAGCAACGACCTGACCTCTGCACGACCTTTGACCTGCGATACCAGCATGCACATAAGACAGGTTAACATACAGAGCATTTCTAACACAGCCACAGCGCAACTGTAGCACACTGCTGTTTTTAAAGTGAAGGCTTGGAGCCAGTGTAAACCCCTGTTGGTTGTGATTGGTGGGACTGAATGCAGTGAAGCAGAGAAAACACAGATAAGCTTGAATGTATTAATGAGAGAAGAAGTTTTGTTGGGTGAAATCATTTCTGTTCTGTTTTTCTTTCTACCCCTCGTCCCCAGCGAAACTCTTTGTTGTCTGAATGTATTTACTTACAGACTAAAGCTGAACATAGTAGGGAGTGTGAGAGTCAGAAATAGTACACTATTATTACACCTTATTTTCAGATTGACAGTGTGTGATATTGCATATAACAGATAGGAGACGAGTAAAGAAACGGCTCCACACTCGCACACATTAAGCTGCTTCTTCTCGTATTTGGCGCTGACTGTTAGCTTTTCTTTTTATTTGTGTGACAGAATTCATGTCTATACCGCAGAGGGAGAGCACAGGAGTTAGAACTGCAGCTGGGATGAAGGTTTCACATATTTAATGTGCAGGTCATGGTTGATGATCCAAGGAAAACGAAGCTGTCATTCTTCTGTTCAGGTTCGATTGGAATGGCCCACAGATCTCGCCATCAACCCCATGGATAACTCCATCTACGTCCTGGACAACAACGTTGTTCTACAGATCACTGAAAACAGACAGGTACGTTTCACATCTGCACTTAACTTCAAAAATGTTCACACCCTTGAGCTTCTTCACGTTTTTTCACATTACAACTTCAAACTTCACTGGATTTTATGTAAAGTGTGAAGTAATTTAGCATTCAGCACCGTAGGCAGAAAGATTTGGAGATGTTTAAAACAAAGTTGAGTTGGAAAACAATATCCTGTGTGTGTGTGTGTGGTGTGTGTGTGTGTGTGTGTTCAGGTCCGTATAGTGGCTGGTCGTCCCATGCACTGCCAGGTGCCTGGTATAGAATACACCATGGGAAAGAGAGCGGTGCAGACCATGCTGGAGGGAGCGACCGCCATCGCTCTGTCCTACAGCGGCATCCTCTACATCGCAGAGACAGATGAGAAGAAGATGCACCGCATTCGACAAGTAACCTGTCGCATTTTTACGGCACATTCACTCGCTCACATTTAGTGATATTTCCAATTTACGTCAGGAATATGTATTGCAGCGTGTACTGTTGAATGTTGCTGTTTTCAAAAGGGACAATGCACATCACATAATATGCCAGAGTTAGCATAAAGGCTAGTTTTCATCTGTAGTTCCTCAGGGCACAATCAGTATAAACACAATAAATCACAATGCAACACAGACAAGTTGGCAAGATCCTTCCATCATCAAAATAAATAAAAAACATTTATTTATCTGAAGAAACAGATCAGGTTACACATTTAAAAAGAATAAAAAGCCATACAGCACAAAAATTTACCTCAATACATGAAAGAAAAAACTGAACCACATGAACTGTGCCTCCATATTTGATTATCTAAGAACCATGGTTTTAAGTTAGAAAATGTTTTAAAAGACTGATACGTTCTTACACTCTCTGGTAGTTTGTTAGAATAAACATGTAACTGATTTACTCACAAATTGCCACTTTTCTAAAATAATGGACAAAATACTTCAGTGACCCAGAGCCCTGAATCAATATTATTTCTTATTATTCATCAGTTTCTCTGCTAATATTCAATACTTGCAACTAATACCTCTAGTTTGTTCCTTTGTTTTCTGTCAGAATGCCAGGCTGCTGTTTTATTTAATATTTTTCATAGCTGTACATCCTCTGCTGTACTCCTAGGTGTCCACTGATGGAGAAATTACGCATCTGGCTGGTGCACTATCTGACTGTGACTGCAAGGTACTGCAGAGTTACAGCCACGTTTTGCTCCTTCACATCCATCAGGATATTTATATATATTACATGGAATGATGGTTTCTTCCTGTTTGTCTTTGCAGAACGATGCCAACTGTGACTGCTATCAGACAGGAGACGGCTACGCTAAAGACGCCAGGCTTAGCGGCCCTTCGTCTCTGGTGGTGTCGCCGGATGGGACTCTGTACGTGGCTGATCTGGGAAACATTCGGATCCGGGCAATAAGACGCAACCAGCCACGCACCGGTACGAACATTTATAGATGGAGCTATTTTTAGGCCTCCACACATAAATGCTGCATTTCTGCTGAGGGATCTGTGAAGGATCCCTCTGAACTCTGAAATATTCAAGACTGGCTGCAAAACCAGCAGGGAGCGCCTGTGAGCTGATAAAAATCACACTTTTCATCAGGTTAATACACATATTCATGCTTCTCAGTCTATTTTTAGGGAGAGTCCTCCAAGGAAAATCATCTAGCGTGTTTTCTGATTGTCACAGAAAGGATGAAATACTTTATATTTAATTACCCCTTAATTCAGAAAGAAAGATCTAAACCCCAAAAAGTAAAGGTCACAGTGCCACCTAAAGGATTTCAGACAGTCATCTTTTGGAGTTGAAACATTAAATGAAGCTGATTTTCTACTATGAATTAATAACATTTAGCAAACAAGAATTGTTTTCAAGTGTTTTAAAAAATCTCCCACTCAAGTATTTAGCCCAGAGCAACAATCATGTAGGTTTTATTATTAGTGTTTCTATCTTCTTCTACAAGGATTTCACCTGTACTAATCACTCCTGTGCTTTCATCTATTTTTATCTTTATTGCATTTCGTGTATTCACACATTTCTAATTATATTAAAAGGAATCACAGGTGGTTTTAATTAAAACTGTTCAGTTTCAGTTTAACACAGTTCAACTCCTTGTTATTCCACACATGTCAATGAAGGTTTTGGTGCCAACAGATCATATTGAATCTTCTGCTGGATTCAATCTCCTTACTTGAACAAACATGGGGTGGCAGTGGAAAGTGGAGAGAGGAGGATTCTTTTCTCTTTTTACTTTTCTTTTTTTTTTCTCTTCAGAGCCAGGTTAGGCCGTGGAGGTTGGGGAAAATAAATACAGGAGCTCCTTGTCAAAATGCCAGCTGAAAAAAAAAGTTAGAGGGAACATAATAAAGCATTTAATATAGATGCCAAAAATTGTTCCTACTGCTTGGCATTTAAAGTAGTAACATTAGTAAGTTGCAGTCCATGCATTATTTTCCATATTTGCATCACTTCCAACAATAAGTCCTCACTGGAAATCCGGTCAGAACTCATGAAAGTCCAATCAGACTGACCAGTACAAAGCATCTCCAAACATGGTCAGTAATCACAGTGTTTGTCAAGTGGCTGCTATAATCGCTGTACATTAGCTTAATAAGGCAAAGTCAAGAGCTGGAGAATAAAAATGAGTCTCTCTCCAATCAGAGTCTCTTCATCTGTCTAACTCATCTGCAGGCTCTTTGGCTTCAGGTCCCAGCTCCTATGAAGTGGCTTCTCCAGCCTCACAGGAACTTTATGTGTTTGATTCGAATGGGACTCACCAGTTCACCATGTCTCTGATCACTGGAGACTTCAAATACAACTTCAGCTACAGGTTGGTTTGACATTTTTTACTGTTTTTCCCCTCTTTTTTTAAACCATAAAACTGTAACGGTGCATTTTTTTGAAGCATAGTTCAGTTTGTTCTCATTTTCTGCTTTCCTGTCCTCTCAGCAACGAGGAGGATGTTACCGCAGTGACAGACAGCAGCGGGAACACGCTCCGTGTCCGTAGAGACACCAACAGGATGCCTGTACGTGTGGTAGCTCCTGATAATCAGGTGAGATGTTCACATTTTTGCACATTTGCATTCTTTGAGGATGGCCATGACTCACAGATTGTTCTGGATTCATGGCGACCATCTGACTGTCTGGTTGTGTTTTATTTTATCTTTCAATACACAGGTCATCTGGCTGACAATCGGGACCAATGGAGGACTAAAGTCTCTCACGGCTCAGGGTCAGGAACTGGTTTTATTTACTTACCATGGCAACAGTGGCTTGCTGGCTACCAAGAGCATCCAAATTGGCTGGACTACATTCTATGAGTAAGCCACCTACTGACTGTCACATCTAAATGCATGAATGCAATCTGTGCAGCTATGTGAGGATGAAAGTAAGGCTCCAGAATAATTGCATTGTTGATGCCTTGGTCATTAGGGAAGAGGATACGTCCACTTCACTTGACACAGGTGGTCCTCTGTTGTAATCAAGTCATGTTTATTTATATAGTGCATTTCAGCAACAAGGCTTGACATCATAAAAACACAAAAAAGGCATAAACTAAATTCTGTTCTCTGAGCTACAGGGAGCCAGTGAAGGACTTTAGAACTGGGTGATGTTCTCCATCTTCCTGGTTTTAGTGAAAAAGCAAGGTGCAGCGTTCTGGATCATGTCCGAACATTATATGTCGTCATTCACCATCAGTCCACATCTTCTGGTTTCGGCAGGGACAAACAATCTTACTTTATTCAAGAGCTCTTTTACGCATTCCAGGACTTCATAAAACAGATTTTCCCTCATTCAAATATAAATAAATCTTCTCTAAAGACACTAGACATATAAAAGAGCTTCAGGTTTTTGTTAAATTGCTGCTTGGCTGCATGAACAAATTCATTGCTCTTCATCATTGCTTTTGTTTGTGATTTGGTCTTTTCTCCATTCTTGCCTCAGGCCACAGTTGGAGCTGTGCTGTGGTCTGATCTGGTTTGAGGCGGCAGATGGAAGTGTTCCTACTAAGACACTTAACACACACCTGTGTGTTTGCTACAGTGCCCTTCCAGCTCCTCTGGGTCAAATGAATAAATCACCTTTCATTGTATAGCCTCCCACTGAAAAGTCTAGCCTTTTAGAGTGTGCGTTCAGTCATGCACAGTGTTAACAAAGTCACCATTGGCGTGTTTCTTCTGTTTTATTCTGCTTTTACCGGTGCAGGTTAGCTTCTTTGAAACACTCAATCTCAGTTTCAAGAGGGACGTGTTCACACAAATAAGACTTAAACTGATGAGAGAAACCAAATGAGACGATGAATAGCATCAAAAGCACTTAGTCTTCAGAAGCCGGTTGAAATCAGTCTTGCTGAAGGGGGATCCAGGATGAGGGGGCAGCGGTAACATATGAGAAGACTTTTCATCCAGCTTTAATCAGGCAGATGGAAGATTGAGGGCAAAAGAAAGTCTAGAGCGCAGACTGTGACTGCACTGTTGACGGGATATGAAAGTTGGCAAGACTGATAATAACAGTGTAAGTATTGATTAATTCATTCACTTGCTGAAATGAACATGTTTGCCAATAGGACAGCACTCAGTTTGCCGAATGGCCAAGGAGGAAAGTTGATTTTATGTCAGTTTTAGAATCATTTCTGGTGTTGACGTGAAGATGTGTTTGGATCATTATCCTTTTGTAAAAACCAATAATGACAAGCCTTCATTTAACTGCCAGAGGACACCAGATTTTATTCTAAGGTCTCCTGGTACTTGAAAGAGTTTGTGATACTTTCAAATATGTCTGAACGGCCCAATTCCGATTTTTAACCCAAGAAATATCCAACTTGCTCCACTTCCATATATGACACTGAATCTGATACGTGTCCAATCTGAACAGCCATGTTGGATTTTATCCAGATTTTACGTCTTTGATGTGAGACTTGTCATAATTGTTCACCAGGAGACACCAGACACGGTAAATCTGGATGCCAACAATGGCCGAAAATTATAATTGTGAAAACTCTGATAATGTTTTGTGTCTCTGCATCCAAACAGACATCTCTACAGACATCACAGTGAATGCTCCACAAAAGGTCATTGCTATTATCTTGAGACAATAATATCGGCTTCTATTACGCAACAATTTGAAAACAATCCATAGACGGCATCCATTATTACTTCGTTAAACGAGGTGATTCTGTGTGACGCCTCCCTTCTTCTTCTTCATGCAGGTCCTTCGTGAAGTTTGACTCTGATCATATTTAATTAGTAGTATCAATAAGCAAAACAAAAAAATTGATTTCAGCAAAAATGTGGAACTGAGCATGAAGAGTTGCTGTGTGAACGTCGCCTTTTCATGCCTGCTGTACTCAACAGCGGCATGAGATGCTTTTCCACTCATTTATTCTCCGTTTCAGACCAAATCCTTCCTGGATCGTTTGCTGCAAAGAATATGAATCTTAGTTTCATTTAAGGAACTCAAATAGATGAGCAAACACTGGACTTTTATGTTTGTGAGTGAGTGGATTATGGATTGTTGTTATGGTGAGTTGGTAACCCAAAGATGGCACTCTTTTCTGCAATTTTTACCATCACTGTGTGATGAAGACGTGTCCTGACAAGATAAATGTGAGACCTCGCTCAGCCTTGCTTCTCTCAGTTTGAACTTACTAGAGCAGTGAGTATATGTAGATATGTAGATATGGGTAGATGCCATTTCCTTGTAGCCATTTCCTTACATGGAGTGTAATATATCTCTTCCTTACACGAATGCCATGTTCTCCTTTGCTTCCTGCTTTGAGGAATGAAAAGGGGCTTATATATGCCATGTTATAGTTATACTCCTAGTAAACAGGAGTCATGTTATGAGTTACTAATTAGGTTCATACACAGTCTGATAAAGGTAAAGATAAAATATCAGTTTAAACATGCTTCAATTACATTCATTGTATAGGAAATCTTGGACGTACCAAGAAGAGATTTAGTTGAAAATATTTCTTCTTTATTACTGAAAAAGGTATCAAAACTGAATCTTGCTGAAATGTTTATGCTAATGTGATGTTGCTGTGACAAATGATTAACCTATTTTAGGGCGTTTTACACATCTTAATAAATATGAGGACTTGCTTCCTGTATGTATATTCAGGTCATTTTCTCTGTCTCGGCAGGATTCATTACAGTAATGACATCTAATGTCCCCTTTCTCCTTCTCCTGCATTCTGTCCTGGTAGCTATGACAGCGAGGGTCGTCTGACTAATGTGACCTTCCCCACCGGCGTGGTCACCAATCTCCACGGCGACATGTCTTCAGGAGCCATCGCAGTGGACATAGAGACGTCAGGGAGGGATGAGGATGTTTCCATAACAACAAACTTATCGTCTATAGACTCCTTTTACACTTTGGTGCAAGGTAAGGTGCTGGCATGCATGTGACTGAGTCTGAAACTCATCTATAAGGAAAGGTCAGGCAGATGATTATGATCATTATGAATAATAAAAGTAAGTCAGATCCGAAGAAATGTAGCTTCATTTTTAGATTTTATCACCTTTCCCAATGTTTTCCCTGCTGCAAAATTAAAAGGAATAAAATCTGTTGCTGTTCACAAATCCATCTGCCAGAGTTTTATATTGTACAAAATATGAAAATACAGTGGCTTGCTAAAGTATTCATACCTGTTACAGGCACAAACGTCAGTTAAATTTATTGGGATTATGGCAAAAGATGTTCTGTTCAGTGCTTGTTTCCACATCTAAATTGGTACCAGTACTTTTTCTGTTGCAGGTTTTTACTCCTGTTTTATTGTTGCTTTCAGTGTCTTGGCAACTTGCCTGACCAGGTTCAATCTCTTCTTTTCAAAGAGTTTTGGAGAACTATCTGGTTTCTGTAATGCTGCTGGCATTACAAGCTTGTAACTAGTAACAGGCTCGATGCCTGTAAACAGGTTCGATGTACGGAGCTAAATACATGTCGATCCTGGAAGGAATCTGGTTGAGATGAATATAAACGTACGTCACACCTTTCAGATTTTTTAAACTGTAAAAGCCTCTGAAAAAATATTCTTTTGCTTCCACTTTGCATTCATTTTCTGCTTTGTGTTGGTCCATCAGGCAAAATAAAATACGCAGAAGTTTGTGGTTGTAATATGATTTAACATGAAGAAATCTAAGGGCTGCAAATACTTCTGTAAGTCACTGTAAGCTGGTGGTATTAAAAACTCACTAAATGACTGTGGAACAATCAGAGAAGTAAGACAAGCTGCAGTTACTGAGAGACACAAGTATTAAGCCACAGATGGGAAAATAGGTTGTGTTGTTTTCTGTGATCATTTTTTTCTGAATTTGGGATGTTGTTTCATTTGTACTTTGATTCAAAGCTTCTGTAAGCCAGAGTAAAATCCATTCTCATAATTTTTTTTTTTGAGAGCAGCGAAAGAAAACATTCACACTGGTGCATTTCAGCAATGTTGTCATTCTTTGTCAGACAAAAACTGGAAAATTATGTTTTAGCGGTGATGTTGATGTAAATTGTGGACGAACATTGCCTTCCATTTACCTCAGAGGTTTAAATTTGAGTGTGAAATTTGATGCTGCAGATCAATGAATCCTCCTTCAGTCTAGTGGATTCAGAACAGTTTCTTCCTTGATGTCTTTAAATTGTTCTGCTTGTGTATTATAATCTTAAAGTCAATGCATTATGAGCATCGATACAATATAAGTTTTCTGTGTGAAAGAAACTCGTGTATGAAGGACTACAATAGTGACGCCTCTGTTGAGAGTGCCTTCCTCCTATCCTGATTAATTCAAAGTCCTGGACAACTAAAGCATTGCTTTCATCAGTTCACTTACATTTATTCGTGTTTTTCCTGCCATCTCATCTACATGCGTAGGTAGAAGGCATCCCATTAGGTCCAGGTGCAGGCCAGCGACGGTAAACAAGCTAATTTAGCTGCTGTACTTAGTCATATTAATGATGCCGTTAACTGCTTGAGAAAGCAGAATATGTGGAAGCAAGAGGTTAAAAGGTCATTTGCAGACATTTACAGTAAACTGTTGTTTCTACTGGATCACCATGTGTGATAATGTGCTGGGGAATGACTGAGATAATAAAAATATAACCCTACCCCACCTAATGTCATCTCACATTCTGCAAGATACTTAATGCAAAATTATCCATTTTAATTAACTAAATTACCAAAAAATATATATATTTTTAATATTTTCATTAACGTACGTTGTAGAACTTGGAGATAGAAACGTATTCAGGTATTTCTCATGACATGTTAAAGTTAGAACTCTGAAGCTCAGCCGACATGAAGTTGCACCGGCATTACATCACACACAAAACACGAGAAATGTTGAAGCAGAAAATATATTTTACTTTGTGTCATTCGATAAAATGATTTGCAAAGAAAAAAAAAATTGACGAGAGTAAAGTGTTGTGCAAAACCGCCTCAGACTTTTTGATCGACTGTCTCGTAATAATTTCAAGTTGTCTGGATCGATAGTTTTCCAAGCTTTCTAAAGCGGGGGTTCTGAAGGTCTTCGAGTTTTTCTTTTTGTAATTTTGTCTGTCTTTCTTTTTAGCTTGTGTTCAGCAGATGCATCTGAATATGCCTTTAAAATGTGCAGGCTGTTATTGGAAATTAAGAAAACTAGAAGAAAAAAATAATGAACCAGAAAGTGTAAACATTCTTTTTAAAAAGGTTGAAATGGTGCAAAAAATCAGACAATGATTAGACACTTCAGAAACCCTTTTGCCCTATAACATAACATTTATCTTATAGAATTCAATTGAAAATTTGTTTCAAGGAAAACATTAAAAATGCTGCACTATACACTAATCTGGTTGTAAAAGTGTTCACACCCCTACAACAATACTAGATTAAAGCAGTTTGGGTTCAATTTCAGTTTTCAGTCTTTTTTGGTGGAAATCTGTCAGTATCTTGTTTATAGTTTTGGTTATGTGTAGCCTTTTCCATAATTTTCATTTTCTTTCTTTCTTTCTGCAGAGTTTATTTGGATATGTGCTTTCACTCCAATGTTGAAAAATTAAGTCTCTCTTTATTTTCAGCTTTCCAACAGGCAACTAAAGGTTTTGAGACAAATTAACTTGAATTTGGAACTATTCATAACTTTAATGTTGAAAAAAAATTATAAGAAAGAAAAATCCCAGAGGATAAGATTTCCAGAATAAAACTCCTTGATAGCTAAATGTAAAGATTTACTGTTTAGACTTCTCCACTTCCCTTGCGACTTGCATTGAGTCATAAAAACCAGGCTGCATTCTTGTCAGTATACATTTATTTTAGTGTGAGAATTCCAATACACTGTTACCAAGCCAAAATGCTTTAATATTAATTAAACGGAACCGAAAAACACGGGTGTCACAAAAAAATCAATAGTAAGTGAATGATGTGAGCTGAAAAACAGAGTGGAAATACAGTGAGAGGGAAAAGGCCAAATGCAACGGTTAGCCAGGCCTTTGTTTAATCAAGTTATTTTATTCTGTTGCTGTATTGTTGCATAGATCTAGCAGGGTGTATATTTAGTCAAAGATAAAAGAGTGCCGTCAGCCACTCTGTGTCCTGCTTGCACAAGCAGCCATTAGTCCTGTGGGAGGCTGAGAGGAACATAATTGAAAAAGGCTGAAGGATGTTAAACCTTCTCTCTGCTCCATTAGCAGGTTCAAACACTTCGCCCAGAGATGAATTGTTTCTCACCTTACTTTGTCTCCCTGCTGTCTTTTAGCTGCTCTTTCCCTCCCTGCATTTCGTTTTCCTCCCTTTATCCTCATTTCAGCTCACAATTGATATGTTCTTCAGTAAATCCTTTGAATGCTGCAGTGTAACGCCGTATCGATAACTGCATCTCTTGCTTGTACTTGTGTCATGCAGACCAGCTTCGTAACAGCTACCAAGTGGGTAATGACCATTCACTCAGGGTCATCTATGCTAATGGGATGGACACACACTATCAGACAGAGCCACACATACTGGCAGGTAGGTTTAAATTATTTACCATATCCTGAAGCAAACTTTGTGCATTGATGGAGCAAATACTTGTCCGTCTTTCTCAAAGCCTTCACCAGTCTGCATGTTGTAGTGTTTGTAAACCCCAGATGTCTTGTAATGTGTCTTTAGGAGCTGCTAACCCTACGATCGCCCGGCGCAACATGACCCTGCCAGGAGAGAATGGCCAGAACTTAGTCGAGTGGAGATTTAGGAAGGAGCAGACCCGAGGAAAGGTCATTGTGTTTGGGAGGAAGCTGAGGGTGAGTGTTCTTCAGATACAGGTGATGGACAGCGATCGACCACGGTCTCTTTAACAAAGGCTGATCGCCAGTCACCCTATTATTTTTTCTGGATTATAAGTCATGACATGGCTGAAAAACATATCACAATGTAGGCGTTTCATATTAGTCTATATTGATAATTATGGAGTCGTTTTTGTTTTAAGTATCTCAAAATACTGCCAAACTGGTGGCGTGACCTTTCCTGTTTACAGTTTTCACTCCATGCCGTTGTTTTTTATTTTTACACAATTATGAGGCAAAACATGAAACTGCTGCTGCACCATTTTCTCAACAGGTTGTTTTTATGTAACCAAAGAGTGAGGGATGAAATTTTGCTGGTCGATAAATTGCCTCAGAAGTTATTGCAATAAACGATAATATTGCTGATTTGAAACCATTTTCAAGTAATGTAAGGGTAATGATATAATGGCTTAAGAACAAATTCTCAGACAATAAACTTTCAATTCTAAAGAACATTTAACACTGGAAGTGGAAGACATTTTAAAATATCCAAAATAAATTAAAAAACAACAGAAAAACAAATAAAATTAATTATAAAGTCTCTGTGAACAAAATTGTTCTTCAAAAAAAAAAAAAAAGAGCCAGTTGAGACCAAAACACCAGACTGAAGAGTTTTGTCGTCCAGTTTTTGGTAGAATTAGAGAGAAAAGAGAAAAAACAATAAATAATGCAAATGTAAATTATTGAGATCTTTTTAATCGTGTGATAATTTGTTGATTACTGAGACAAACCTAGTGAGACGTTGAGAGCCTTTCCTCTGCCTACATCCCACAGAAATCTGAGTTGTTCAGTGAAAATTTTTAAAATTTTATCAGACATGTTACCTATTGATACTGATCATGTGTCTTTTGTGATTTATATTGTTTTTGATTTATTGCCCAGCCCTACTGCAGTTTCTGACTGACCCAGATGTCTGTGCTCTGAATCAGGCTGACTCAGAGCGTGTTCAGGTTATGGTCATGCTGAGGTCTTTGGCTGCAGAAACCGGACAGTATCATGTTGCTGTTATAACATTAAATTGAACTAGTCAGGAGCTTTGAGCATTTTTATGATACTTTCTCCCCGTGGTAAAAGAAACGACTTAAAAAACGATAGGACACGGGTAGGAGAAGAAAGCTTTGAGACTCTCTGACCTGCTCATGTACGTAAAAACATCATGGCAGCTCCTAAAAATTAATTATAAAGTAACACTGCAGATGATATTGGTAACAAAGTGAGCATGAAAAAAAGCACTAAGACAAAGATTCCCCTAGCATGTCCAGTTCCTGTGTCATAACTCAGCTTATCACATTTCTCTTAATTTGTTCTCCCACAGACATATTACTATCATATTCTTGTAAGAATAAGAGAAAAAAGATTATGCCGTCCATGCATTATGCATCCTGTATACCTGCAGGCTCTACAAGTGGCTGCTGAGAGCTGCAGCACACCAGATTGGAGGACGGGTTGACAGGGTCATATTGATGCCCACAGGCAATTTACCAGTTCACACTTTCAAATTTTTACACTGTTGGAGGGAGAGCGTACGAACGCTCTGCTCGCAGCACGACCCCGGCTGTCTGTGAGAAAAAAAATCTAAATTCTTGCTTTTGGACAACAGAGCATAGCTTTTTTTATTATTTATCTTATTTGTGTCATCATCTATGGGAAGAGTGTGCAGATGGGAATACATCCATGACCCCGGTAATAAGACAATCACCTGCTACGTTTTTGCTCTGGGAAGTATTTGGATGTGTTTGGCATCTGTGTGGCCTCTATTTTCTCGTGTTAAAGAAGCAACTCCTTGCAATTTTATTTAAAAATAGCTTTAGAAATCCCCTTAAATAATCTCTGTCTAGGTGAGGAAGGGTTTTTCCAGGATACCAATGAAGCTTAGCTAAGTTGTAGAGGTTTATTTGCTAAAAAAAAAAAAAAAAAGAAAGATGTTTGCAAGGTGTTGTCGAATTGTCATAAAAACAGCAAATGTGAGAATCTATGTTAAATTGTTTATTTCAAAAATACTTTTTCCTTTTTATCCCAAAGAGAAATAAATGCTGTTGTAATCCAACAACGATGACACCAACCACTTTAAAGAGAGGTTGTGTTAGCAGCTAGTGTTGCAAATAATCTGAAGGAGCTTCTGACTGGAGACTGCAGATGTATGATAATCATGTATGATAGTAGGGACAGCAGCTCATCCAGACAACAGAGACCATATTTCACAGAAGCATTTTGTGGATGCTAATCCACCTCATTTGCTTTTGCCACTTCTCTTTAAATCTATGTTTGGCCTTTTGGTTAGAAAGCTGGACAGTTGTAGTCCTGGAAATGATCCTGGCTAATTACGATCGATGGAAGAGACGGTTTGAACATCCTCTTCCTCTCTTCTCTGCATCCATGAAACCTCCCTTTTTAATTCGTCTGGAAGTATGGGTCATAGTTCAGGTATTTTTTGAACTTTCGAGATGCTAGTCAGCTTCTACCTGTTATAAATTTTCTCCCGAAAGTAAAACAAAGTAAGAGCAAAACACCTTCCAGCTGTACGGCATCCAGAACCACAGGGTACAAAAAGAGCAATGCCTCAGCCAAAAAACACATGGACAAAAGCCTACAAAACATTAGGGGCACAATTTTACCAGAATTTTGTTAATACACTGGAAAATGCTGGAAGACGAGCCTCGCCATCCACAGTGAAGCTGGTCGTAGGTCAACCACCAATCTGCCTGTTTTTAGCTCAAATGAAATTTACAGCAGCAAACATGGACAAACTAAATTATCTCTGGAGAAAAGAGACCAATATTTACATGTTTGGCAACGAGACAAATGTTTGGAGCATTATGGTGGTTCCAGCATGCTGATGGCCAATTTCACTGCCAGTGTAACTGATGCATTGCACATAAGAGTGCAGAATACCTCCAGATTCCTCAGGTTGGCCTCAAATCAACAGCTGGATGGATAAAATGTGGATAGTAGTTTGCCAGCAATGAAATGTCTTATACATTTTATTTTAATTGTTCAATATTTGGAAGAGTAGCCAACCCAGACTGAATGGTTTTGTTCACTTCCTCCACTCCCAACGCTAAACTACTGCTATAGGCAGACTACAACTATAACTGGACAAGAGAATCAATGTCATCGTTTGATTGGCTGGAGAAATTGCACTCAGTGGGAGAAATCCCACAGAGAACACTGAAGAGAAATGAGAATTGAGTGAAACTGCACAGGAAGGCAATGGCCAGGCCAGACCTGACCCCAACACATTGTAAATTTATTGGTCTACGGCTGAGTCTGTGACTTTATTCAGCTATGCTGTGTTTCGTCCTAGTGGCTCCTGGCCAGTGTTCCAATATCTTCCTCATCCCCCTTTAATTCACCTCACTGATTTTAACTGGTCCTAATTCACAAATGAATGAGTAGCTTGAATGAAAAGGTGAGAAATTGGACCGTTGGACATCTTCCAGCCAGACTCTCTGTTTAATGAAAGAGGTCTGTAAGTGATTGATTGGCCGGTTTGTAATGTTTGTCATTGCTTCAAGGATCTATAAGGTGAACTTAGCTGCAGATCTGGGCTATCTGTCTTCATAAATCGGATTTTAACAGCACATCATTTAGATGGTGATTAAGCCTGACTTGTTGGTTCAGGGATGTTATTTGGTTTTATGGCTGTCAGATCAGAGATTTGTTTTATTTCGTAGGCTGTGGTACCGACATTTAGGTGAACAGTCAAATTTTAGGACATTACAAGTTAAATTCATTAGCTATTTCATTTTTTTTCCTTTCTCTCACACTTATGCTAGATACTTGTATTATAGATTAAAGGGGGCATATCATACAAACTTCACATTTCACATGTTTTTCTACTCCCATTTGGATCTCTACTGCTTCTAGAAACAGTCCAAGTGCTTAAAAAAACACCCAGCTGGTTTTTGGCAATAAGGTAAAGTTTTTTTGGTGTCTGGAAAATGAGGCCTTTTTATAACCTTTCGAATATAATGTCACAAATCAGCAGGCGCCGCCCCTCACCTGGCAACCCCAGTGGTTTACAATGAGCTGTTAGTTTGTTACTCAGTGTTTCACACACTGCTTTGCTATTTTGGCTGTTTTTGTGTAATAAACACAGACAGTGTAGAATCTACTGAGGGTTTTTTGTATCGTGATAAATAAATCTTTGGATTCAAATAAAAGGTGAACGTTCTCTCTGCATTGAGTGTGTGCATGTTTGTGTGATAGTTACAAACAGAAAGACAAACTTGCAGACACTGGACAAAATATGTGAAGCTGAATGAAACGGGAAGAATAAGGAACCAGCAGTAGAAGATAAATCTGGGCGTTAGTTTCACTGTTGAGAGACGATCACAAAGCACAGCTCAGTCCCTTATTTGTCTCCTCTGACATCCAGGTAAACGGAAGGAACTTGCTGTCTGTGGATTATGACCGCACGCTGCGAACCGAGAAGGTTTATGATGACCACAGAAAGTTCCTGTTAAAGATCATCTACGACACGCAGGGCCACCCGTCACTGTGGATCCCCAGCAGCAAACTGCTCTCAGTTAACCTGACGTACTCCAGGTAAATACATCTGTACTGTTCTCCTCTGATCTGATCCATCAGATGTAACTACGACACTCTTGTTTAACTTTCTAGCTGTAATTCAGTGAAACGTGAACCTGTGTGTGTGTGTGTGTGTGTGTGTGTGTTCAGCACGGGACAGGTGACGGGCCTCCAGAGGGGTCCGACCACAGAGAAGTGGGAGTACGACAATCAAGGAAGAATCATTTCTCGAGTCTTTGCTGATGGGAAGATATGGAGCTACACGTATCTGGATAAGGTAGGGAACAAGTAAAAACATTTACAGACAGGCATACATTCAACTTTCTTTCTCACTGGGTCAGGTGTTCAAACATTTCCAACCCAAACATATCTGTACTGCGTCACGTATCATGGTATCACCCATTTATGTTTTTTTAACAATATCATGGCTTCTTTTATTTAGAAGGAGTATTGTTTCATTCATGTAAACTTTCTTGAATCCAGATTCTTAATCATGGATACATTTTAGACTGCTCCATTCAGTTAAAACCAAATTAGATGTTTGGAGATATTGTCCTGTTAGACCTCCCAACTGTGTCCATCTTTCATCTGTGTAGCCTGAGATTTGAGATGAAAATAAGGTACTTTAATGGAAGTCCTCCATTTTCATTATTCCTGCCACTTTAAGCAATGAAACAGCATCAGTAGCTGAAAAGTTGTGCAGAACCTTTTCTATATTCTACTAATGTCGAAAAACATAATTTCGCAATTGCAGCGTTTTCATTAAATAAATGGAATAAAATTGCATGTGAACAAGTCTGCTCCCCAATAAGTCATTATAAATCATGGCAGTGACGGCTGTAAACACTAACATCAGACATATCCACCTAACATCCATGGTACTAACGCTCATCAGCCATTAGACGATGTGTCGGCGACTTATTGAGGCATTAGCTCAATAAGACTCTGCTACTTTGAGTGGCTACAGATATAAGCAGCATTTTAGTGAAATTGTATTCAGTGATTTTACATAAAAGTAATGGATTCAAGACTTTTGAATGTCAAACTCAACATTTCATGAAGTGTGTGATGCTGAAAAAGCTCTGGTGGATCCAGCTGCACATTGCCCAAAGAGGCCAGGACCTACAAATGAGCACTTTGCTGTTGGATACAGACTCCTGTGACTCCTGTGATGCAAAGAAGTTTTTCCATTGCAGTCTTAAGAAATATACAAGGTGTGACATGGATGAAAGTTTTTTCTAAATTGCCGTGTTTCCATTCGGCAAATTTATTTTCGTAATTCGAATTTGCACAATTTCATGGTCCGTGGAAACACAGCTGGTGTCAGCGAACCAGCATCATTCTGTCACTGCTTGGCTTGACAGTTGGTACAGGTACAGTTTTCTGAGGTTTTGAGAGCCTTTCCTTGTTTTCTCCAAGCGTCCTGTATGTAATTTTATTCCATATGAATCAATGTTTGACTAGCTTGTTCCAGTGGGCAGCTACAAAGTTTTTACCAACCAAGAAGGAAGTTTCTATCTGCAGTAAATGTGCGGTAAAACATACTTCACTTTGGAGTGGAGAAACTTGTGTGCAAGCTGCTTTTAGTTCATGCCAGGCTTGAGCTTAAGTGGTTTCACACTTGTTCCTGATCAATGTATTTTCATCTGAGAGAGGCAGTATATGCGTGAAATAGTTTGAACTGATGAATCTGCAGTCAATGGCTGCAAAAGACCTCCTTGACTTTAACGGAAATCCACGTCTTCTTCTTAAAAAGAAACTGTCTGAGTAAGTGGAGAAAATTTGAATTAAACTTCTGCACCAAGTTCGTCTTTTTTTAAGACTGATTCAAGTATTACATCTTAAAATTATTCCACAGAACTTTTCAAATTCATTTTAATGCAATCATTCAGAAGAAGAACAGCATGGTGATGGAAACGCAGGATAGAGTAGCAAGTATCATGTAGGAAGGTGCTCTATAATTCTGAGTCTGCTAGTATTTTCCAAGGAATCTGTGCACTTACAAGAGACGGCAAAAAGCACGAAGTGAATGATTGTAGAAAGGCGGTGAGTAAAGTAAAGGAAACTAAGAACCAAGAAACTATCTTGTCCTCAAATAAAAGAAACTATTGATGTCAGGAAAGCAAGGCTGACAGAGAGAAGAGAGTAAAAGAAGAAGAAGAGACCATTAAAAAGTGAGTGGCTTTGAAAAACATCTCTAAGGGAGCTCAGGAGGGAGCAAAAAAACAAACAGTGTGAGGAGAAAGAGGACAGGGAGGAGGGGAGTGAATCCAACACGTCTGCTGTGTTAGCCTAGGAAGGGCCTGACACTCTGAACGGCACCTGGCCTTGTTTGTGTGGGGATACAGAAGGCGATTGATTGATAGCAATGGAAAGACAGACAGACTGACAGAGGTACAACGGTGAGACAAGACTCCAGGGACGCCTGGAGCTTAGTTAGGATGTTAGAGAGAGGTGGAGGCCAGGGGAGAAGAACAACAGAGGGCTTAAAATTAGAATCACAGAAAGGCAAAAGATGCAGCAGACCATGAAATATGTCCTCTACGGGGAAATGTCTCTTGTATTAATGTGAATCTGGATAAGAAAACATCTCAAAGTGTTTAATATAAACTGAATATCTTCGGAATAATTGTTTCTTTATTCCTTTGTTCACATTCGTCTTTCATTGGCTTGATTAAAGTAATTGAATCTGTAGCTGTCTTGTTCTGACCGAAGGAAAAAACAAAAATGGTGTTTCACTCTCCCTCAGCTTTGTGTCCTGTTTGTAACATCCTGCTGTCGTCTCCTCTCTTTGACAGTCCATGGTGTTGCTGCTGCACAGCCAGCATCAGTACATCTTCGACTACGACTCAGGGAACCGACTGTCAGCCGTCACCATGCCCAGCGTGGCTCGGCACACCATGCAGACCATCAGATCTGTGGGATACTACAGGAACCTGTACACCCCCCCGGAGAGCAACGCCTCCGTTACTGTGGACTACTCTGAGGAAGGGCAGGTGTGTGGCTTTTAATCAAACTGATGCAATCCTTCCCGGCTTTTGTAAAATAACTTTGCCTCTTCATACTGACTTCAGCTGTTTTTCTTCATGTAACAACCGTAGACTTCAGAGGTGTTGTATGTGTGACGTATCAACACAGATCAGTGCAAATTTGTTGAGCGGCAGGAAAATTATCCAAGCTTTCTAAAAAAAAGTTTTTAAGGAATAAAAATCTATAAAATATGTTTTCCATTTGTATTTTTATTTTCACAATTTGCAAACTTTTTCTTTGTGTTGGTCAATCACATAAAATCTTAATAAGATTAATTAAGGTTTGTAAATGTAGCTTTACAGAAGTTTAAGGATGCTGAGGCTGCAGTCGTGTGTCTCTTTCTGATTGGCTTATGCCCAACAAATCATTCACAATTAATCTTAAACAAACTCCCAGAGAACTGCAAAACTGCCGAAACACTGACTTTCCCTGTCCATGTCTTTCTATGTCCAGCTCCTCAGAGTGGCTCATCTAGGAACCGGCCGACGGATTCTGTACAAATATCGCAGACAAGTATATGGCTTCATTATTATTTTTGATTATCTTAAGTTCACATCATATATTATGACCACTTCATGTGTAGTTGCAGAGTTCACCTAACCAACACTGCTGAGTGTCTCATGACAAGAACATTTCTGTTAGGTGTCATTTGTTTTGGTGTAAAACCAACACCTGTTTATGACATGTGACATTTCCATTATGGCAACGGTTGTGGTTGTATTTGTCTCCTCAGAATAAGCTGGCAGAGATCCTTTACGACTCGACGCGGGTCAGCTTCACGTACGACGAGACCGCTGGCGTGCTCAAAACCGTCAACCTCCAGAGCGAAGGCTTCATCTGCTCCATCCGCTACCGGCAGATCGGCCCGCTGGTCGACCGGCAAATATTCCGCTTCAGCGAGGACGGGATGGTGAATGCGCGCTTCGACTACACCTACGACAACAGCTTCAGGGTCACCAGCATGCAGGCTGTGATCAATGAGACGCCGCTGCCTATTGATCTCTACCAGTTCGACGATATCTCTGGGAAAGTGGAGCAGTTTGGAAAGTTTGGAGTTATCTACTATGATATCAATCAGGTAAGAGACGAGTCACTTCAATAGATTTAACCATTAGTGGGAAAAAGTAGGTCTTCATGTTGTGCTTGCAGCGATGAACCAAAGTATGTAGAGCACTCAAAATGAGAAGATAGAAAGCAGAAAGAATATTATAAATATGAGTTGGCTGTGAGGCTTTATGGTATTTCATATTGGTGAGGAGTAGGTTTGTGTAAATACATAGTATGCTTAAACTTATTGGGTCAACAATACTAATCTAATCATTGAATTGGTACGTTTAAGTCACTTCCATGGCCACAGGTACAGAGGACTGAACAATGGAGCGGCTGCAATTTTTAAAAGTTAGGTTGAAAATGGTGGAAACATAAGTTTAGAAAAATGTCTAAAAATATCTTGACATGTTATAAAAACTTGTTCAAGCATTTTGCATGTTAAGACTTATTCAACAAACTTATGTTTAATTGTTTAGTTTGAGCCTTGAATGATACATTTTTAGTCAACATGATATAATCCATTGAAAATGTAGGAAAACGTATATAATTGTACATAATCACATTATGGACCAACTTGCTCAGGGGAATCAGAAACTGCTTTTTTTTATGCGCACGAGTGACGCATTGAGGTAAAGATTGAACAAGTAGTTTGGAGAATTTCAATTCTTTTCTGAGAAATGCACCAAAGCAACTGAGAAAAACTGTTATGCTAATTCTGAATTCCTCTTGACATAAATCAGATGAAACACAGCAGAACATTTTTGGAAGTGTCTGTTACTTCACTCCTGAAACCGCCACCCACAGACTATTTCCGAACTAAATCTAGCTGTAAGCTCTGCGTGTCACTGATTGGAGATCAACGTTTACTTCCTGTTTCAGATCATCTCCACAGCAGTGATGACCTACACCAAGCACTTCGACCAACACGGCCGGATCAAGGAGATCCAGTATGAGATTTTCAGGTCACTCATGTACTGGATCACTATTCAGTACGACAACATGGGCAGGGTCACCAAGCGCGAGATCAAGATCGGACCCTTTGCCAACACAACCAAATACGGTTATGAGTATGACGTTGATGGACAGCTGCAGACGGTCTCCCTCAATGAGAAGCTAATATGGAGGTGAGATTTGTTTCATGGAACTACTGTTTGAAGCAAACCTACTGGGTTGATGTGACAGGCTGACGGTTTAATGCCGGCTTTGCAGGTTTAACTACGACCTGAATGGAAACCTGCACTTACTGAACCCGGGGAACAGCGGCCGTCTGACGCCGCTACGCTATGATCTGAGGGACAGAATCACTCGCCTGGGGGATGTTCAGTACAAAATGGACGAAGACGGATTCCTGAGACAGAGAGGAACTGAGATATTTGAGTACAACTCCAAAGGTGGGAATTATCGTCCCAACACACTAAACAAGATTTACATCCCTGTAAAACTGTCTGCTCTAGAACAAATCGATGTCATAACGTGTTCTTTTGTTTGATTTCAGGTCTTTTAGTTCGTGTTTACAGTAAAGCTGCCAGCTGGACCATCCAGTACCGTTACGACGGCTTGGGTCGGCGTGTGGCGTCCCGGAACAGCCTGGGCCAGCACCTGCAGTTCTTCTACGCCGACCTGAACTACCCCACCAGGATCACCCACGTCTACAACCACTCCAGCTCTGAGATCACCTCTTTCTACTACGACCTGCAGGTAGCTGCCGCTGTGCGCTAATTCTGACAGCCATTAGCCATGTTTCCATCCAATTATCATGCCAATCATGAGCAAACTTTGAAAATTTCACAAAAAAGGAAATGTGAATCAGGTGTGTTTCCTTGTTGTCTGCGTAGCCCGGTTGATTTGCTCCAAACCAAAGTTCAACTACGTCAGACGTTAAGCTTGGCTTTTTTAATCAAGTAAATGTTCGCTACGTCTGAAATTACTGAGCAAATGTGTTTTATATGCCTTTAGCATGTTAGCTTTTTTACAGAAAAGCCAAAAACCACCTCAAACAAGGGTAAAAAACATTTCCAAGTGTGAATCATATGTGCTTTTTCTTTCTTTTTTTACAACATAGTGTGTGGCCAGAAGTAGTATTTCTGCCCTACATTGTTATAATTTTGCTTGACAACTTCTTTGAACTATTGATTTTTTTTTTCCAACTTGTTTATAAATTTGGGAATTTGAAATTACTTATTTGATCTGTTTTATCTTTATTCTCCTGTTTCCAATTTGATTGTTGGAGAAACCGACCTGTAGAGTGTTGACCATTATTGAACATCAGCATCAGACAACATAAGACTAATTATTTGAATTATATGTGCCAGTAAAAAAGCTCACTGAGGCTGCCGGCTGTTGCAAGTGTTGCACAAGGCGCCCCACTCAGACACCTGCACCCCAAAATGTCTCTGCACACCACTGCCTGTGCTCCAAATCACATGAAAAGAATCTGCATTCTTTCTAGTTTTTCTTTCATCATTATTATCATTATTATTATTATTATTATTATTATTATTTGTGGATATACATGAGATCTGGGGGATAGAACATGAGCTGGATTTGTAGCCTTTGTCACAGCTCTGCAGCGCCTCCTGGAGGAAAAGATTGTGAATAACAAGCCGATCCGGAAGACATTCAATAGACCAGCTCTCACTTTACATTATCGCTCTCATTTTTCCTCATTTAAAGCTTTCTCTTTAAAGTTCAGTCCACTGACACCTGCTGTCGTGTTTGTACTCCATCTGTCAGCTTCTAATCCCGATGATCCAGCCTTCCTCTCGCTCTGCCTTCCACTTCAAACAAATAAAGCTTTCCTCATTTAGAGCGAATTTGGAAATATTACTTATGTCTGGGAGCTGAGGATCTCCCATGACGTTAGGCTTGTGTGTGTGTGTGTGTGTGTTTTTAAATCAAGCTTCTCCCACAGCGCTCACAAGTGAATGAACAGGTGAGTCTGGGAGGCTTCAGCAGCACAACACAGAAAAAACAATATAATGATGATGATTGTATCATTTTTTAAAGCCCTGTTGTATATTACAAAGAGTTGTTCTGCTGTAATGATAGAAATTACCGGTATAAATCCTCTCTTAGCTTTAATGAATGTAAGTGTGCCGTGTGTGGTTGCGCAGGGTCACGTGTTTGCCATGGAAATCAGCAGCGGAGAGGAGTTTTATATTGCGTGTGATAACACCGGGACTCCGCTGGCGGTCTTCAGCAACAACGGCCTGCTCCTTAAACAGGTACGACTGTTTCCTCATCAACCGCAGGAAGAAAGCAGCTGGGCATGTCATCTGTTCCTGAAATGGTTTTGTGTGTTATGAGTTAGTAAACGTGTGTGTTTGCAGGTACAATACACAGCATACGGGGAGGTCTACTTTGACTCCAACCCCGACTTCGTCCTTGTGATCGGTTTCCACGGCGGCCTGTACGATCCTCTGACACGACTGCTGCATTTTGGAGACAGAGATTATGACATCCCCGCTGGGAGGTAGACCGTCTGTCTCTTATTCGCTCATTTCTAGTCCAAGCATGGCATACGATTGCATGCAGACACTCGCTGTGTGCTTTGTCAGCGTCACACCTGATCAGGTGCCTCGGTTTGTTGTTTCTTCTTCTCCTGAAGGTGGACCACTCCAGACATCAGCACATGGACGCGTGTGGGGAAAGACCCTCAGCCTTTTAACTTGTATATGTTCAGAGGGAACAACCCCGTAAGCAAGATTCATCAGGTCAAAGAGTATGTTACAGGTAATAAGTTCAATCTTGCCCCATTCACTGCAAAGACACAAAACCTTACCAAGTATACTTGGTCCATATTCTGGTGCAAATATTTTTGTACACTTCAAATAAGACAAACCTAACTTATAAGTAATTTTTATGCAAGGTGTAGCTGCTTGTTTTAAGTCAATAACTCCTGGATATTGATGAAAAAGTACTAGTTCCAATAGCAGATTACTTCACTCATAACATGGGAAAAATGTCATGCAATAAGTTAAATAATAAGCCAGCGTTCTGCTACACCAGCAAAGCAGGATTTTTTTACTTTTATTTGAAACCAGAACAGCAGTCACAGAAAATGCTGCGTTCCAGTTACCTGGGAAATGGGAACTCTGCTGGACTTGATGCCAAACATTCTGGTTAAGAAGTCTGCAATTCAACATGGCAAAGCCCATAAACGTAGTTTACGACTGTTCATGCAAACATCATTTTAATTTTAATTTTCCACAAGCAAACACCAATTTCCATTTATTCAGTTTAGAGTTGCAGGTGCTACATGTAACGTTGATTTTAGACGCACTCTTACATGTGTGTCTTGTAAAATTAACACGTTTCCACCACACTTTACTACAGTTCCCAGTTCCAAGTATAACTGATATTTACTGGGTTCTTTAACTCCCTCTTTGTTTTTTTTGTCTTTTATTTCACTGCCTGTTTTTCTGCAGATGTCAACATCTGGTTGGTCACCTTCGGCTTCCATCTTCATAACGCTATCCCAGGATTCCCTATTCCCAAATTCGACCTGACGGAGCCGTCCCTGGAGATGAAAAAGAGCCAGCTTTGGGACGACCTGCCTGTGTGTATTCTTATTCATTTTAACTACAATGCTTTAGATCAGGGGTGTCAAACTCCAGTCCTCAAGGGCCGTTGTCCTGCAGTGTTTAGATGTGCCACAGGTAAAAAACAGTGGAATGAAATGGCTTAATTACCTCCTCCCTGTGTAGATCGGTTCTCCTGAGCCTTGCTAGTGACCTAATTATTATTTTCAGGTGTGGTGCAGCAGAGGCACATCTAAAAGTTGCAGGACAGCGGCCCTTGAGGACTGGAGTTTGACACCCCTGCTTTAGATAATCTGCCACTGATGACTGAATCCACAATACCATAGTATATATAGTAATGTGGACGGTTTAATTTGCTGAGTGAGATCTTTTATCACCTCTCTGCAAACTGTGGCTTAAGATATTTTATTTATAGTTAATTAAATTCATTGCTGATGTCAGGTGTGTACGCAAGAAGACTGAATGCTGTAAGTAAATCATTGTATTTGTTTAAAGGTGCACACACTTATGCAACTTATGAAGTTTATGTTTATTTCAGTCACAGCAACTGTTGCCTCATAGCTCTTTACAAGACCAACAGATGCAGTAAAATATAATAAATTGAGCCTGATTGTTCAGACAGATTGAGAGATGATTATATACATTCCAATTTGACTTAGGAAATTGTTTCATCATTCAGTAATTTTTCACATCGCATTAGTTCAGAGTCACAAAGAAATGACAGAAAGAATGACTTCACCTGTGATGTCTTGATGCCAAACTGCAACATTACATCTTTACTCTGTATGGACAGTTGGACACAGATAGTTGGACATGCTGAATGTACTACTTTATTTTTATGTCTAAAAATTACCAATTGATGTTATGATGTTGTAATATGTCTGTCAGCTGTAAAATTCAAAGCTTTAATACTAAATGCTCTCTGTGGAGATTAAAACGCAGCTATTCTGTCAGCACCTGTTACAACAACAGACCCACGACGGCACTGACAATAAAGACAAAGCTCTGTGAACAATGACAGAGGAAAACACTGGCAGAGATAGGAAAGCGTGATCAAGTGAAGCCAGTCACTCCCATCGCAACCTTATTTTCTGCTCCTTTCTCTTCTCCTACACCCACTCTGTTACTGGGGTAATTATATTGGACAGACTATCAAGCAGCCGCACTTCTACTCAAACAGTGTGTTCAGCTTCAGCCCAAAAAGAGAGTTTGAATCAAGACAGAGTCGCAAATAATAAGAAGGGTAGGAGAGAAGGGTAAGTAGAGGATCAGAGAAGGTGAGGAAGGGAGTCAGAAAGGCTCAGAGCAATTTAAAGTGTTATCTGAAGTGAGGAATCATTTTTTTCCAGAGACCTTCAGAAGCTGCGGGCGTGTTGACCAGCTGAGCCAACTAATACAGACACACACGTGCAGAAAAGATGGTTTACAGAGCAGACCACATGTACTATGTATTAGCATTGTACAGTTTAATGCTCTCCTCTGGAGGAGCTGCAATATGTTACAACCCCCAGCAGTCAAAAATAAAACATACACATTTTAATTTTAAGAAATACAACTAATAATCAGCTTAACGAATAATGAAACAGGCTTTTATATAAACAGTCATGGCCGGATTTAGAAGAGTAAAGGCCCCTGGGCTGGATGGAGTCAGTTCTGGTGCCCGATGCCAGAAAAGAAAATCATTTTCTCATGAAAATTACAGAACAATAATAAGTAGGGCTGCACATTTGCAGGGTCAAAATTGAAAGATGGTTGGTTTGCAGATGGTTTCCATGTTGGTCCCAAAAAAATGATCCTTTTCAAATATTTGAGTGTTTTTTTAATTAATAAAAATTCAATATTTTAATAAAGCAACACATCCAAAATGAGCCCTTAACTTTAATATGAGATACAGTGTTTATAAAAAATGCATAGTATACAACAGAAACATTTTTTGTTTTGCACTCGCCCCCAAAACCTGAAGCCCTGGGTGACTGCCCGTAAAGCCTGGCCAAGTAAAAGGTTTTTAACAGGGACCATTTGTGGCCCTTGCACTGATTTTGTGTATTATGAAGACATTTTTTTGTAGTTACAGTAAAATACCATTGACATAAACTTCTTATAATGGAAAATGTTTAGTGCAACACAAAGTATTTGTTTTTATAATCTTTTATGTTTTTATGAGTAGAACCACGTCTACCCAGAGACTTTTACTGAGAAACCAACTTTGCTGCATGCAAATCAGCTTTTACTTAATTTATCAAACTTAATTTAATACTTATCAAAGTTTGGACAACCCTGGTCTGTCATATAAAATCCCAACAAAATACATGGAAGTTGGATTTTGCACTATGGCAGACGGTGAAGTAATGTACATGAGTATAAATCTTTCTGCAAGGCACGTTGGTGGCTGTTTGTGTTTTAAGGCACTGGACATGTTGTGATGTCTCCTTGTTGCTTCTCTGCAGTCCATCTCAGGTGTGCAACAGGAAGTAACTCGCCAGTCATCCGCCTTCCTGTCCTTCGAGCGCATGCCGGAAATCCAGCCCAGCCGACGGCACTCCGACCACACCAAGCCCTGGCTGTGGTTCGCCACCGTCAAGTCGCTGATTGGAAAGGGCGTCATGTTCGCTGTGGTGCAAGGACGAGTTGTGACAAATGCTCTGAACATTGCCAGCGAGGACTGCATCAAAGTGGCTGGAGTCCTGAACAACGCCTTCTACCTGGAGAACTTGCATTTCACTGTTGAGGGACGAGACACTCACTACTTCATCAAGACCAGCCTTCCTGAGAATGACCTGAGCGCCCTGCGCCTCACCTCAGGCAGGAAGTCACTGGAAAACGGCGTGAATGTCACAGTGTCCCAGTCTACAACCGTGATGAACGGCAGAACGCGGCGCTTCGCCGACGTAGAACTGCAGTACGGTGCCCTGGTCCTCCACGTGCGCTACGGGACGACGCTGGACGAAGAGAAGACGCGAATCTTGGAGCAGGCACGGCAGAGGGCGCTGTCGAGCGCCTGGGCACGTGAACAGCAGCGAGTGAGAGACGGGGAGGAAGGCGTAAGACTGTGGACGGAGGGAGAGAAAAGGCAGCTGCTGAGCAGTGGGAAGGTTCAGGGCTACGACGGCTACTACGTCCTGTCCATCGAGCAGTATCCCGAACTGGCCGACAGCGCCAACAACATCCAGTTCCTCCGGCAGAGTGAGATAGGGAGGAGGTAACACGGCGTGAACGCGTCCAGATGGTTCCACCTCTGACTGTCAAAGACTAACACTAAAAAAAGTTCTGTTTTAACACTAAATGGATGTCACAGATTGAACTAAGACGGCAACAACTGCCCACTGACCCCCTTAGATTTCGCTTTGACCTGAAGCTACAGCTGTGACTGTCCTCATGCACCTGGGAAAGGTTCTTCAACGCCCTCCGTTTTCTGTTCCCTCTCGTGCTTTTAGACAGGCTGCACGCATGCCTTTCCACTTCCCTCCGACAGGCCAGGCTAACCTGACTGCCATATCTGCGAGCTGCCTACCTGTTAAACAGAGACTTTGGATAACGGAGGGAAACACAGAGACTGGTTCAGATAGGCAGCTTGGTGTGCGAGCAGCCGTCCGAAGCAGTTAAGCAGCCCTGTGCATCCCTAACAGATGTTGCGGGTACCATATGTCTGAGGGTCCAGATGGGCCCCATCACTCCGGTTTGAGCCTTGTCTATAGGATTTATTATTCCATGGCTGAAGCCATTGAATGGAACTGTTGTGGACTCTCTCTAAGAGAGACAGGCACAAAAAAGGACTGAAATTTGTACAAGTTAAAAAAAAAAGACTTTTTTTGTTGTTTGTTTGTAATTTTTGGTTTCGATTTTCTATATAAACTTGCATTTGCTTCAGAGAAAAAAAGGGATATTAAAATCAACAGAAAAGCGTTTACATCCTATTACCTACATGTATCGCACTATTACTACTATACCCACACCCCACCACCACAACAGATCATGAGAAGAACTTATCAAAAACCAAATGTTGCATTGTATTTTTTTTTCCTCCTACTGATAGCTAAGATCTGTTTGGTCATTTCTACAAGCACTCCTCATCCCTTGTGCTAATCCAAGGCTTGGAAAGCAAACCTCAGTGTGCAGAGGTAAGGTGATCACAGTTCACACAGTCTGTGTCGACCAGGAAGACCCAAAAGAGTCCTTTTCTTCTCCAAATTGTGACTGCTTCATAATGCATAGACCTTGTGATTTCGTCAGTCAAAGGTAGTAGTGCTGCTTGCAGTAGAAACTTGTTGTCATGGCTTGGTGGGGCGGGGGGGCAGCTGGGTTGCTGTGTTTAGCGACAGACTGTTGCTTCTCTCGTTGTTTTTGCTCGTTTTTCTTAAAGGGACAGTGCATCTTCATGAATGACATAAGTAACAGTAATAGATCAAAAATCGATGTGGCTGTTTTCTCATTGATTGTAGGTCTCTGGTCTCTTAGAGATTTTTTCTGTGTACATGTCTGTACAAAGGTTGGAAGGCAACTTTAAACATTTCAAAGGAAACAGAGTTAACATCGTACGCTGCAAAGGGTTTCTTTTCAGACAAGACAAGTCGACGTGTTTTGTTGATTTAACTTTATGTTGAAAGTTGAGAAATTCCATTTATCCGTACATCGATATTAGTCTCAGAGGAAGTAATTTATGTACAGTGTTTCTACGGTAAAGAATAAAAATCTTTAAAACTCCTGTTGTTTTGGTGTCTTCCTTTAACTGGCAGTAATTGATTTAGTTTTGATTGTAATTACAACAAATCAACATGAAACGTTAAAATAAAGTTCAAATTCAAACCCCTTTTATGCATTTATTCTGCTAATTTGTGTCAGAAATGATACAGTGAAATTACATTTATTTGGAACATACAAAATGTAAAAGAAGACATTAAATGTATACAGTTATTTGTGCTATGGTTTGGATATTTAAACCTCAACCAGAATCAGGACTAGAACCATTGAACAGCTGCTCCATGGCGACTGGATTCAGAGATTGGACTGGGAGTGTTGGGTTCCTCCTTGGCCTGGGGCTGCTGCTGTTTCTGGGAGCGCCAAGTGCTGCAAGCTTTCCACCCATCTCACCATTCAAACAACTTCACACCCTCCTGGTGTAAAATTAACACGCACAGCTAGTAAACGCTCATCCGTGACGAAGAATCCAAATGAAGGTCAAAGATTCCCATTTCATCAAAACAAAATAAAAAGGAAATGGGCATAACAAAAAACTAATTCCTGTCAAGAATTATTCTCCAACAGACCAAGTTTTACTTGGTGGAGTAAAACCAAAGTTTTCACTCTGAAAGCAGGATTTCATATCTTTTGTTCTCAAAACTTTTAAAGTCCTGTTTTTCAGTTTGAAAGCAGAACTTAATGTCTCTCCTCAAAACTTGTACTCTGAACTTCTGCTCTTTCAAATATTCACTGTGCTCTCAAACTTTTCTCCTCACGCTCAAAACTTGTGTAATCGTATCAAATCTTGCACACTTCTGCTCCCTTACAAATCATTTTCTGCTCTCTCAGAAGAGAACAGTCCCTGGCAACCTGTCAGCCAATAGAATTAAAGTGTTATACTGGATTTTTTTGTTTCCTTCGAAAGGTTGTGCCTGTGTGGCTACTGAAGATTGCAGTAACCTGCACCGCCCACTAGATGTTGCTCTCTACATTACGAGGCAACATCATGCTTTCAAATTGAAACTGTAAGCACAAGTACTAAAGGTTTTGAGAACTAGAGACATGAAATCCTGCTTTCAAATTAAAAATGCGTCCTCTCCAATTATGGCAGAAAAATTCCCCCATACACCAACCCCAATACATTTTATCAAAATTGAATATGATCATACATCACCAGGTATGCAGAGAGGTAACATCCCATTAAAACCACATGTAGCTAGGTGGGGAGTTGTGCTAATTGTAAGCCGTCTTTACAAAAAACAGCTTTTTGTTCATCTATGGAATTATGCAAACTGTGAACATGCTTTTTAAAGAATAAAAAGCATTAAGTCATTAAGCTTTTGTCATCTCACTTTTATTGCACTGGGAGGCAGATGGCTGCCACAGTAGAAGGAGGGACAGTGTAAACATCTGCCTTCCCTCCTCATTAATAAGAATACAAATTCAATGGTGTGCATCTGATTAGCTGTCAATGACTGTCGGCGTAACAAAAAATGTCATTAACTCACATATTTTTGTGTGTGTGTGTTTTTAAACAAGCCTCTTCTTAGCATGTCGGGTCTAAAATGTAAGCAAACTAATAAAATGGTGGCAAACACCACAGGGGGATTTCCACATCCGTAACAATCCAGAGTGATGCACAGTAGCAATGATATCCAGCACCAAGAGTATTTACAACCAATAAAAAAAATAAAGCTACAGTAAGGTTTCAAATGTACACGAAAAAAATCATTAAAGGTTAAAAAAAAAAAAAAAAACAATGCTCACGCTAAATAGTGCTATTTTCCAAACCATGAGGATTAAACTACTTCCCTGCTGAACACCAATGTGTTCAGGAGTTATTCATGGAAGCGGCGGCAGAATCTGGTGTTTCTCCGTCTGCTTGGCTCAGCTGCTCTCCTCACTGGTGGAGTCCAGCGTTTCCCCGGTGGTTAATGGAATTAAAATCAATAACAATCTCAGAACTCTTGGGCTTGAACTGCCTGTCAAAACACGGTGGAAAAACTGAAGGTCAAATCACACAGACGAGTTGATGATGCACACAACACTAGCAGGGCATGTCGAGAGGGTAAAGGTCAATCCTTTCCAATCAGATTTCCTGCCATGGCTCCTGACTCACGATGGAATCGGTTCATTCGAGTCGACGCTCTGTCAACGAGAGCTGAGCAGCTTCTAGACAGAGAGAGAAACTTCTCCGATCTAATAAAAGGCTAACATTTGCAATCAAATATGTGCACAGATCTGGAGACCAGATTGGACAAAAACCTGTATAACTTCATGATTATTTCACTTACAACAAGACATTTTTCCAATATTATGAGTGAAGTTATTTACTTAAAACAAGATCCTCTATCTCACTGAAAAGTTACCTGTAAGTTAGTAAATAAGATAAAACTAAGATATTTGGACTAGAAACTAGACTAAAAATACTTTTGTGTTTTTGTAGCGCATTTAGAATATACTTAAGCTAATTTGGAACTTAAATCTGTAAATAATTCAAATATTTAGAAATTATTTTGGGAACTATTAAACCCTCCCATCAATTAAGAACACATCGGTGGGAGGGTGGAGATGTTATTTTTACCACTTTTTGAGCTTGTATGATCAGATTAACTTCGTTTACATCCAAGTTGTGAAACTAATAGTTACTATTTTGTTTTTTATTTCTGCCCCGATTTCCTTAATTGTTGGTGATCATGATAAACCAAAAGGTCTGAAAATCAGCCACTTTTACATTTTGATCTGCAGTGGCTGACAGACGGACCTGCCCACCAGGTCACTTATCCACAGTGGGGTTAAAAACAGTCACCCCACTGTTGCCAACTTAGCAACTTTGTCACTACATGCAGCAACTTTTCAGACAGAAAAAGTGGAGAGAAAAAAATCTGCATTGGACATCAGAAAAGGCTTTTTAATAAAAGTCAAATACATTTTATTTTTAAAAACTGATTAATACTGGTCTCTAGACTTTTCTAAACAAGGAGCTCAACCTACTAAACCTCCAGAAACACCTGAGTGAGCTCAATTTCCCCTCATCACACGTGGATGAATAAATAAAGCAGGAAACCAACAGTGTTTGTGATCTACCTGAACTGTACTCCAGCCATGCTGAGCAGCCTTCTGGAAGCAACCATCTCAGGCTTATCATGGTACTTGTCCGAAAGATACACAACTTCTTTAAGACCTGGAGGGAGAGCAGCAGAGACACGGAACCGATTTTAGCTATTAAACATGTAGATGCATCAGCTCATGTTAAACGACGTTCGACCCAGATCAGATTTACAGCAGACAGCTGAGGTGCAACTTTGCAGATTTTAGTTGTTGCCCTGCTGAAGAGTTTTTGTTAGTTTATAAGTTCTAAATTTCAAAGAATATTTTCCAAACAGACAAGACAGACTGATACGTGGCCAGATTTCCACAGGAACCAATCAGAGGTTATACAGCAGATATGAAAGAAGCGTTAGTCTGAAAACACTTTAAGGTTTTACAGCAATCAACTAGAGCTGAAATAATTAATCGGATTATTCGATTATTGAAATGATCAACTAATTTATTAATCAATTATTCATAACTGGAGTATGCAGACTTAAAGAAAAAAAATCATTTGCTGAAAACCAACATTTTTGGAGCAGTAATTAAGCCAAAACTGCAGAAAATGTAAGCACATTTTGCTAATTTAAGACAAAAACACCTTTGTCGAAAATATGTTTTACCCCCAGCTCATCAGGGGGCAGATTTACCTTCATTCAGTTCAAATTCACTAAAGGAATGCTGTGTTATTAAATTTTAGGTAATAAGATTTTTCTTATTTAAGAAAGGCACTGAATCATTTGTTGATTTGCATTTTTAATATATTTCCAAGAGTGTATAAATATGAAATACAAAATCTGCAAGGAGTCCATTTATTTTAATAACCAATTATTAAAATAATCGTTAGTTGCAGTCCTACAATCAACAGACACTATGAAGTGAAATTTGCTCTTTAAACAACCCCAAAAGTAAAAACAATAAAAGGCTCTTATAAGGCGTCCTAATAATGAGATTATTTTAGCTGTGTGGTCCCAACAATCACCTGCTTGGATGATGAGTTTAGCACACTCATTGCATGGGAACAAAGCCACATA